CTGAAGCCCTCGGAGGCCGTGCTGTACGCGGATGCCATCGGGGAGGTGGTGTCAGACCTGATGGTGCGGCTGCGGGAGGAGCGGAGCCGCAGCTCCTCAGGGGTGCTGGTGGGGGACGTGGCTAACCTGCTCTACCGCTTTGCCCTCGAAGGTAGGGGGTTCTTCCCCCTCACCCCTGCCCTGCCCCATTCTTCCCATGCCCCCGGAGGTCTGGATGCTGTCTGTCCCCTACAGGGATCTCCTATATCCTCTTCGAGACCCGCATTGGGTGCCTGAAGCAGCAGGTCCCTGCCGAGACCCAGCGCTTCATTGACTCCATCAACCTCATGTTCAAGAACTCCATCTTCGCCACCGTCCTGCCCCGATGGAGCCGCAAAGTGCTGCCTTTCTGGGACCGCTACTTGAACAGCTGGGACACCATCTTCGCCTTCGGTGAGCAGTGATGATGGAGACCCAGCATGGTGGGATTGGACTCCCTAAGGACACTCAAAAGTGGAGCAGTCTCTGGCCCCGTGTCCTTTTGGCAGCCCTCGCTCTGTCAGCACTGAGTTCCACTCTCTGTCCGTGCAGGCAAGACCCTGATTGACCGAAAGATGGAGGAGCTGGAGGGGCAGGTAGAGCGCGGCAAGGAGGTGTCCGGCTACCTGAGCTACCTGCTGGCCAGCGGCAGACTCAGCCTGGATGAGGTCTATGGCAGCGTGGCTGAGCTGCTGCTGGCTGGTGTGGACACGGTGAGAGCTGCTGCCAGGAGATCCCTGCTGAGCTCCCATGCCCAGGGGAACCCACAGGGCCATGCTCAGCCCAGCCCCTGCAAGCTCTGGCCTGGTGGCTAGGAGGCTGATGCTCCTCAGGGACGAACCCTCAGGGATCAGTCAGGACAGACACTGTCCTCTGCTCTGCTCCCTGACATGCTCCCCATCCCACTTTCCCCTGTGCCTGCTGCCCCTCACCCCGACTTTCCTGCACACCAGAGCAGGGGTTCTCTGGTGCCATACTGGAGCTGTGCTTGGTACAAGGCTGCTCAGGTACCAGCTCCAATTCTCTCACTCCCCTTGGTTCTCCACTCCCCCAGACCTCCAACACGCTGTCCTGGGCCTTGTACCACCTCTCCCGGGACCCAGGCATCCAGGAGACCCTGTACCAGGAGCTGAAAGCTGTTGTGCCTGCTGACCGGTTTCCTGCTGCTGAGGATATCCCCAAGTTGCCAATGCTTCGGGCCATTATCAAGGAGACACTGAGGTAAAGCCCAACCTTGCCCTTGCCCCAAGGTCCTGGTCATCAGCCCCTTCTCCAGGGGGGAATGCACCAACAAGGCAGTATGGGAGGCTGGATTTCAGTCCCTCAGGACCACATATATCCACCTCCTCCCTAGGGAGCTGCTGAGAAGTAGGGGGTGCTCCCCCTTGTCCTGCCTCTCCCTCTGGGATCTCCAGATGGGTCCTGCTCCACCATTAATTCTTCCCATATCCCAGGGTCTACCCTGTGGTGCCCACCAACGCCAGGGTCTTCTATGAGAAGGACATTGTCATCGGAGACTACCTCTTCCCCAAGAATGTGAGTGGGGACTGTGGTGTGGGGACCTCCACTGCCCTCGGTGGGGCTGGGTCGGGTCATTAACCGCCACTTGCTGCCCTGCAGACCCTCTTTGTCCTGGCACACTATGCGATGTCCCACGATGAGACCTACTTCCCTGAGCCTGAGCGGTTCCTGCCCCAGCGCTGGCTCCGGGGATATGGCTCCCCCCACCACCCCTTCAGCTCCATCCCCTTTGGCTACGGGGTTCGTGCCTGCGTCGGACGCCGCATTGCCGAGCTGGAGATGCACCTGGCCCTTGCCAGGGTGAGTAAGGACCCCACTCTGGGTATCTTGCCATGAGCTGGGATGGGGGCCCCAAGGAGTCCCCAAAGCACTGCCATCCCCCTTCTTCCCACAGATCATCCAGGCATTCGAGGTGCGGCCAGACCCCCGTGGTGTGGAGGTGACATCTGTGTCCCGCATTGTCCTCGTGGCCGACAAGCCCATCAACCTGGAGTTCATTGCTCGTCCGGAAGCCCCCTGACTGCGCGTCCACCCCTGACCCTGGGTGCCAAATGGAGAACCCCCACTGCCCCAAAGGGAGGGGCAGGCAGGAAGGCAAAACCATCCTCTGCCCAGCTTGGGTCAGGGGGCTCCCAGCCCCACTGTGGGGAAGAGGGAGAGGAGAAGAGATTGCCCCCAAATTGCCCCTGGGGCACTAGTAGCCCCCTACCCCAAATCAGCGGGAGGCTTGGGGAACTGCTGTGCCTTTCACACACTTCAGGGGGTTGTGTCCCCCCCATCCCATGCCCAGCTGGGCTACACTGGGGACCTGGGAGCTCTGTCAGGGCAGGGGGAAGCAGGGAGGGGTTTTGCAGCCGTTCGGTGTCTCCTTCATCCTGTCCTTGTGTAGCTGCGCGTGGATCTGTGCCTGGAGCCAGGACATCTGGGTCTTTTCTGAACAGCTGACCTTGGCCTCAGAAGCTTCTCTGTTCCTTGGTTTGACCCATGCCTCCCACGGGAGGGTTGAGCACTGGCTGGGTTTGGGGTTTGCGCCTCTCCCAAGGGGCGGAGCTGGGAAAGTGAAGCAATAACACAGCCCATCCCCAGCGAGGGGAAGGAGGCCTGTCACCACCCAGCACTGGTATCATGTCCCCTGGCAGAGCCAGCCAACACAGGAGGGGTGTTTAGCACCCAGGACCTTCCCCTATCAGCCACTGTTTCACTGAGATGCTGATACGGGGTCACAGGAATGGCAGGACTTGCTCCAGGCAAAGCAGGCAGAGGAAGATCAGCTCAGCACCCCCTATCCCCAAGTGGGGACACGGGGCTGATATCCAGGGCAATCACAGGGGCTCAGACCTGGTAGCAGCCACAGGCAAGGGATGCATTGCCTCTTACCTAGGGTCCTGGGGCATGGGACACCCTAACAGTGAACCACTCTCACCTTCCTACTTCCTGGACTGAGGGAAGCAGCAGGCAGAAACCTTGCTGGCACCAAGGCTGCTGTGCCCCCTGAAGGGCCCTCACACTACCACTGTAATCAAGGCTGCATGCCCAGTTTCCCTGTCACCTTGGCTCTACCCCCCTGTGCCCATGCCACCCTTGCTGGCATTCCAGGCTGGGTTCCCCAGCCCTGCCAAGCAGCCAGTACCCCCTTCCGAGTCCTGCTCTCTCCAGAGGAGCTATGCCCAGCTTTATCCGAGAAAGGCAAGAGGCAGTTCTTGGATCAGACTCTTTGTTACAATGAGGCTAAACAGACAAATAAATAAATAAATATTCCCTGCCCACCCCAAAATGTGCACAGGGTCCCCATGCAAGTGCCCATCCTGGTGCCAGCTCTGGCACAGGCTGTGCCTCTGCCAGGGAGCTCCAGCCCCATGTGACCCTACAATAAGCAAACCTGTGTGTGCAGCTCAGCCTATGCTACCGGGCACAGATGGTGGGACTGTGTCCACCAGGAGGGAGCAGCAGTGGAAATGCTCAAATCCAGCAGCAGGATGGGAGTGGGGTGACCAGGTCTTCTGGGACTGTGTGGGTCTCTGTGCCCAGCCACAGGCATGTAATTGCTCCTCCAGCACAGTGCCCATCAAGCGTCACTGTGTGCTTACTGGCAGGAGGCACCCCTGGGCCCCCTTTTCCACACTTTCTGCCTCCCCAAGGCTGGCAGGATCTCGCCCTGGACTCAAGACGAGCCCCAGGACTGGGGTGAACAGGCGATCCTCCCTGCAGAGAGCCTTCAGGCCAAAGCCTCCTTCTCACAGGCCATGCAAGAGACCCCCGAGTCAGACAAGACAGTGGCACTTCCTGGTGTCTTCAGAGTGAGGATCGATGGATGCCTGCAGGGCAAGAGAGCATGCGAGGCCATAACCCCAAAACAGTGCTGGACTGGGCACCCTGTGGCATTGCCCTCCCAACCCATCCTGGTGGACACTGGGGTCTTGCCTCCATTCCTGGTTTGGATGCAATCTCTGGGATAGGAGGGAGGGCAGCTGGCCTGGAGAGGGCCCCCTGCAGCTCCTGATCCAGCCACCCCCGTGGTCACCAGGGATGGGGTAAGTGAAAGCACCGTGATTGGGAAATGGGAGGAGGAGGGTTGTGTGTGTGGCTAACACACACCACTCCCAGTCCCCTCCTGTCCAGAACAGCTGAGCACTGCTGGGGGAACTGGTGGACACAGGCCTGTCCCAAGCCCGTTCTCCACCACTACCCCAAAAAAAGCATCATTACTTTCGGAAAGCAGCTGGGACCCAGGGCCAGCTCCCCCCTCCCCATTTCAGCCCTAAAGAGCTGCCACAGTGGGTGCAAGCACAGTGCCTGCCTATCACCAGTGAGCACTCGCCAGGCAGTGGGTGAGCAGACCCAGCTGCAGGCAGTTGGGCAGCATGGTCCCAGTGCCACCTGAGAGTGAACCCTGTCCCTGGAGCAGGCAGTTTTGGGGCCACTGCAGGTGGAGGGGTGGGGGGCCTCTGCCAGCCAGGGCCCATGGGTCAGCTGTGGTGTGCACATGGCTAGTCAATGGCAGCACGTCATGAGGGTGCAAGTGGAGATCTGTCCCTTCTGTGTCCCCCAGGAATGGCACTGGAGGTGCTCAGATCGCAGGGTTTGAGGCGAGATTAAAAATAGGCTTTTATCTTAGGGTGCATCACACCCTAAAACCCTCATCCAGCCCAAAGCCCAGAGACCTGCAAAACCTGCATTCCACACACTGCTTGAATGGGGGTTTAGGGGGGCTGTCTTCATGACAAGTGCCCTCATCCTTTCTCACCGACACCAGGGATCCCCTGTGACTCTTGTGTACCCCAGGACAAGCAGCATCTGGGTCCTGCTGTCCCCACCTGTGCACCCAGCGCTTCCAGAGCCCAGTCCCAGCCTCCTTCATCCCCCAGGGCCAGTTTGGCTGGGGTGGAAGCAGGTGGTCTGAGCAGGGAGGTGGCCAGGTGCAGGTGACCCAGTGTCAGGGAGGGAACAGGCCCACAGTGACAGGGGACAGCGCCTACCTGAAGTGGAGAGAAATGGAGAGTGCAAGTGGAGAAAGATGGAGCGCCGTGGGCTAAGAGTTAAGAGCATCGATACCTGCGGGAGTGAGCACAAGGGCCTGGAGGACGTCAGAGAGGGAGACAATGCCCCGCGGGTACCGGTTCTCATCTACCAGAACCAGGCGATGGACCTGTGGGTGCAGGCAGAGCATCACAGGCAGGTTGGGCAGCTGGCAGGTGTGGCTGGTGCTGGCACAAGGCACCCCAGCCACTCACCTGCTCCTTGGCAAAGCGGTCAATGATGTCCTCCATGTGCTCATGGGGGTAGCAGGTGATGACCCCCTCCAGGCAGATACTGCGCTGCCGCAGTGCCTCTCGCACGCTGATGTCCAGGTTGTTGTAGGTCTTCTGAGCTGCCAGGTGCTGTGGGAGGCGTGACCCTATTCAGCACCTCAATGTGTCCTCACACCCCGTTGTGCCAACGCAGAGGGGACACTGAGTGCTGGGGATGCACAGAGCAGATGTGCACTGGCGTGTGCAGGACACTGCATTTAGGGGGGTTTTACACGGGCACAGATAAATGTGAACACCCCCTACGAGCGCATGCAAGGGGCCACATTTTTGTCCAGGTGTGCAAACACACAGGGTACTCACAATGACATCGAACCGGGAGTACAAGCCAACCACTTGCCCTGCAAAGAGAAACAGTGCAGTAGCTGGGGAGGGGGCCTTGGGGATCATTTGCCATGTTCCTTGCACACCCCAAGGGGCAACCCAAGGGCCAGGAGAGGGCTTTTGGATGGGGATGGGGATGGAGCTGCTGGCAGAGGGAGATGAGGGGGTCACTTCCCTCCTCCCCAGGTACCAGCATCATTGATGACAGGCAAGGCAGAGACACGGCGATCCACGAAGATCTCCAAGGCAGTGTAGATCGGGGCAGTCTCAGGCACGACAGCCAGGTCACGAAAGGTGCCAATGCGCAGTTCCTGCACTGTTTTTTTCAGGAAGCGTGGCTTGGGAATGGTAGAGCCCTGCAATGGGGCAGGGCAGGGCTTGGCTGGCACCTACACACATTTTGACACCTTTGTTTGTGCCCCTACACACCTGCCATGTGTGTGCACACAGCCCTGGCACTCACAAAGATGTGGAGAAACTTGAGGATGCGCTTGTGCGTCAGGATGTGAAGGACATTGCCCGAGACAGGCTCGATGACAGGCAGGCGGTGGATTTTATGCTTGATCAGGGAGTAGACAGCATCAAAGAGGCTGTGGGTGATGGGGACATCGTGGTGGGATAGGGCTGCAACACAGGCACACACACCCCCACCCCAAGGGGTGTACTCACCCCAGTGGACAGGCTCTCACCTATTGCTTGGGGAGAGGTAGATTAATGGCTTGAAGGAGCCCTGCAGGTACACCTCTGCCAAGGGAGAGAGGTGGAAGAGGGGGTCCTCCAGCCCTCTCATGCAGCCCCACAACCCCAGAGCTCACCTTCATGCCCTGCGCAACATCCCCAGCCCAGCCACCCCTATCACCCCATGATTTTTACCTCTCCACGTCTCAATCTTGTGCTCCTCCACCTCGTAGATTTGAACCTGAGGGCAGGGAAATGCTCTGTTCATGGAGGCTCCATGGGGGACTGAGGGCGAGACACTGCCCCCTTCCCCAGGCATCCCACCCCATCACTCTAAAAACAGGAATTACGTTTTCAGTGCCAGGCAGAGGGACAAGAAGCAGATGCTGCCCTGGCCCAGAATCATCTCCTGGTCACAGTCTAGTGATGAAGAGGAGACCAGGAGAGGTGGGGATAGCCCCTCCCTGGCCCATGTATGCCCCAATCCCCCATGCCCAACCCACCGCACTCACCAGGGGTGAGCGGTAGTAACGGTGTAGGATGTTGATGAAGTCGGTGATGGTGAGCATCCCTGTGGAGACACGTGGGGCTGGCAGCACTGCCTGCACCCTAACTGCCAGGCCAGGGAGGGGGCCAGGCAGCACTGCTGGCACTCACCCACAAAGCTCTGTGTCTTGCTATCCCAGAGTGGGGCAGCACGCACCCCATTGGCCACCAGTGCCAAAAAGGCTTTCTTGATCTGCTGACAGAGTGGAAGGGGATCAGGGGGTCCTGAGCCTGCTCCTCCACTGCCCACCCCCACTGATCCCCCGCTTTGCCACCTCCAGGGAGATGTCGAAGACGACAAGCTTGCAGCTGGTGGGGATGGCATCGTAGCAGCAGTGGCTCCTTAAGAAGTGCATGTAGGCCTCGGCGTCAGGGCTCTGAAACTCACTTTCTGGGCCCAGCCCCAGTATCTCATTTCCCAGTGTGAAGGTGACAGATCTCCTTTGCCTGTATTCTTCCTCCTCCTCTTCCCCCTCCCTGGAGCATAGGGCCTCCGGGAAGCCTGCAGGAAAAGCCATCCCAGCCCCAGCCAGTGAGCTGAGATGCTGGGTCTCAGCAACTTCCTGCCTGGGGGGAGCAGGGGATGCTCCCAACAGAGTCTCCCTGTTCCCTACTCCACAGGGGCAGCACAACAGCACTGCAGTTCTCCAGCCTGGGCTGCACTTCAGCTGAGGAGTGGGGTTGACGAGGGGTATGGGCAGGGTGGACAGAGGACTGATGTACTCATCACACGAGTAAGGCAGTTCCCCCCTCCTACACACCTAGGCTCTACCTGCTACCTACCTTCCTCCTCAGGGCAGGCAGCAGTATCCAGCAGGGCCACCTGAGAGGGCACACAGCAAGGAGGGGTCAGCAGGAGTCCAGCCTTTCCCCCACCCATGGATGCTGCTTGCATCCACCCGGCTACTCCGGCCCACCCAAGCCGGACAGAGAGGACTGTCCTTTCAGAGTGGGGATGTGGGCGGGGCCTAGCCCCCCGTCCCTCCTGGGCAGCCCCCCGCCAGTGCAGGATCCCCAGAGCCTGCAGTCTGCATGGTGGCTCCAGCCCAGGGCACCCAGCTTGTTTCCCTGCTCTGGGGGGTCAGTGGGGGTCCCCAGAGAAGGGCAGGACAAGGCATGAATGGCAGGACCTCCCGCCTTCTCTCTCTGCTGTTGGAGCCCAGCAGGTCCCACAGTGGCTCTGAGCCCATCCTCTCCCAACCCCAAGGTGTAAATCCTGGTCTTGCTTCTTCCCGTGCCGGGAGCCTCGCCAGCCCCACCGGCTTCCCCCAGGGACCAGGTCGTCCCAGGAGACCTACAATAATGAGGGGGCAGCCCCAGAAGGGAGGCCACAGGGCCGGATGGCTGACCCGTGCTCCCCAGTTCCCAGGAGACCCTACCATAACACAGCAGCACGTGCAGAGGGAAGAACAACCCTGGCCACAAACGTACCTGACAGAGCTAATGTTTACAGGCCACCCTAAAATAACGAAGGCACAGGGACAGGGACTGCTCCCTAAGGAGCCCAGAGCCAGCCCCGGGAAGGAGACCCTGCATACACGTCCCCCAACCCTTCCCAAGGGGTTGGGGACAGCTGGGACAAGGGCGTCCTTGTCCCCATGGCTCCATGTCTGTAGGAAGAGGCCCGCCAGCCCCCCACACTCCCCCACCTCGGGGATGGCCTGTCCCCGAGAGAGGGGCTATCGAGCCGGGCCCCCCACCCGGCCCGGCGGTACCTGGGACACAGCGGGGCCGCGGAGCCGCTCCATGCTATCTGCGGGGCAGCGCTGCTATTCTGGGCCCGCGGCTGGCGTGGCCCTGGCAGATAGGGTGTCAGCGAGCAATGCCAGCCGTGCCCCCGCCACCGCCGCGGGGGGGGACACCGCCGACACGGCCACGCAGCGCCCGCAGCCCCGGGCTGGAGGGGGTGGCCGCGGCTCCGGGGACAGCGTTGATCCTGGGGATCCGAGGGAAGGGGTGATGGAGGGGTGGCTGGGGGCAGAGAGAGGGAGGACACCCCGCTCCGCGGACCCCCGTTCTCCAGAAGCGGTGCTCAGCGCCCTGCCCGCCGGTTGGTGCCCCCGCCCCATCGCGGGTGGGGGACACAGCGTGTTCGCCTCCCCGGAGGTGTTGAAGAAGGGCTGGGTCCTGTAACGTGCTGAGAGGCGACCAGAGAGGCTGCGGACCCCTCGCCCTCGACGCTGGCCAGCCCTGCCTGCCCCTGCCCGCCCCTGCCCAGGGTCCTGCTGCGGCTCACTGTGCACAGCCACCCCGGCCCCACGGCGGGGGCAGCCCGACCTGCTGGGGAACTTCCTTGCCGCCCGCCCTCCCTCCGCCCTCTCTCGGCTCCATTTCTATTTCAGGGAGGTTCAAATAACACCTTGACCAGCTGTCGGGCCGGCCCGGCGCAGCCGTGGGCGAGCGGGCTGGTGGCTGCCGGGTCAATGGGACAGGGCTCTGCCTGGCTCCAGGGGACAGCTGGAGACACTGGCCCGTGACGGGGTGGAAGGAATCCCCTGGTGCTGCCTTACGGCAGGCGGGAAGAGGAGGGACGAGGCCGAGAGCTCGGTACTGGGGTGACAGGAGGACACAGCCGGGTGGCCCGTGCCCCGCAGCGGTGCAGAGAGCGATGGGGGCGGGCCGCTACAGCTGTGCCGTGCAGAGCAGCCTGGCTCCAGCCTGGCCATCGCGGGTGCTGGCAGCAGGGAAGGGAGCAGGCATCTCCACTTTCGGAGGCTATTTTCAGGTGCTGGAGAGAAGCCGAGGAGAGATGAGATTGTCACCAAGGAGACCGGAGAAACAGGGCCCAGTGCCGGGAAACGGGGGGCTGCAAGGAGAAGGGAAGGAAGGGCTTTCTGTAAGCCCCAGGGCCCACACAAGAAGCTCAGCATCTCCTCTGGTCCCCAACAACCTGCCCAAGCGGCCAGCATCCAGCTAGCAGGCTGGGGCAACGTAACCCTGTACCAGCACCCAACCCTTCCTCCTCCTACTGTAAGGCTGGACTGCTCTGTTCCCCTCGGTTACAGGTCCACAGGAGAGTCCCTAGGACATAAGGCAGTGATGCTGGGAGCTGCTCCTCCATGCAGGGGGGCACACACACCTGGCCCCCAGGGCAGCAAGAATTACCCCTGCTCAGAGAAGGACAGGGAAAAAGGGGGGTGGTAGCACAAAGCCACCCTGTCCAGAGCCCAGTGAAGTCCCATGGGAAGAGCTGAGCTGCATCCCAGACACAAAGAGATCAGGGAAAGAGAGACAGATGAGAACAAGGAGAGCAGCTGAGTGTTAAACTTTAATAAAAATCCTTGAGAAACAAATGGAAAATAGAGAGCAGAGTCCAAGAGAAGAGCATCAGCCTGCAGTCCACACACATACGCTGTAGGGCACACCAGAGAGCCAATGGGCTCGGCTGAAGGATGTTCCATCTCTGGCAGCCCTACTGTCCCCATAAACTGCAGCCATGCTGCTACACATGGTGTCTGTTGAGCAGCAATGTGTAAGCCTGAGGTATCCCCCAGGGCCCGATGCTGGGGTAGGACAGGATGTTGGCACAGGCATTCAGAAAAGGTCCCAAGCCCTGCTCCTTCCAGAGGAGTGGGGTACTGATAGGGGACTTTTCTCCAGGGCCCAGGCTGCAGCAGGGCAAGAGCACACTTGGCTGCCAGCAGCTCAGGACACAGAGACACAGGCAACCAAGGGCTCAGCCTATGCTGGTTGGGGACAAGAAGGGCAGGCTCAGCCAGCTCCTACGCAGCAGATAAACCGCCATGTCAGGATTTAAAAGCAGCTTAGGACAAAGGCCTGACAAACCCCACTTCCTCAGGCTTTGCCATTTGTTTTGAAAACTGAAGTCACAGCTCTCCTGTTTGCCCAGTAAAACATCCCTCTCCAAAAACAGCCCCGCAAGCAAGTGTGCAGTGCAAGGGGCTCCCACAGTCCTTGCTCTACAGAGCCAGCTCCCATCTCTTCCTTTGAGGTAGGTTGATGTGTCCCCAGTGGCTGCCTGGTCACATCACCAGGGCGGTGTCCGAGAGGCAGCCAGAAGGTCTCTGTTTGGCTCCACCAGTGCACTTGTTGAGAGGTAAGCTCTGAGTAGGGCTGGGCTCCAGGCATCTTGTGAGGTCCTCACCAGCTGAAGGGAGTTGCGTACTGCAGGAGAAAAGAGATCCTATGCTGCTTAGCGACAGTGAGAAAGGACCAAAAGGGCCATGGTGCAACATTCATCTGCAGTATCATGACACACGAAACTCAGAGATAGGGCTGCCAGGCTCACCTACTCCATCTCCCATCCCAGGCAGCACCACTCACCCCAACAGATATCCAAAACATTGATGGGACTTCAGAACCACAACTTGATCTCCCCGTCTGAATGTAAACCCAAGTCCATCCTGGTCTGGGCACAGGAATATGGATGTCCTTTCCCGTAGGAAAAGGGATGTGCAGCCCCTCCACTTTGGGTCAGCCAGACCCTATCCTTCACCTCTCTGCAGGAAGCTCTCAGGGCCAGTAGCCCAGCTTTGCTCAGGGAAGCTGGCAGAGTGCAGCAGACCTGGAGGCCTCACTGCTCCCCCAGTCCATGCTGCAGCTGAGAGCCTCTGCTCACTGCTAACCACATCAGTGCCCACAGAAGTGGCACAGTTCCCTATCAGGGGAACATCTTGTCAGCGTGTCCTGACCATGACAGCCCTGAACATTACTCAATCTGGCTGTTCTGGGCTTCACTCCCATCTGAGCTGGGCACACAGTGCCAAGGAGACATGTTCAGACATCATGCCAGACCCACCAGTTGGCTCTCCAGAGAGCTGAAGCTGGCTTCAGAGCCTGCAAACCAACCTGCTCCTCTCCCCTTAAACAAAGCTACTCTCCCTGCTGCCAATTCTCTCCAAGGACACTAGTCCTAAAGCCACACTGTGAACACCATGCTTGTCACAGCCAGTGCAAACTCACCCCAGTCTGCCCAGTTCCAGTTTGCTGAAGCCATTTGATTGAATGCTACTCTTCTGGAGGAAGAAAGACTTTGGCAATGACCACTACAGGAGGAGAGAAAGACAACAGAATGGCTATTTAAGTCATGGCAAAAATCCCTCAAGCCTGCTGTGCTCTGCCATAGGCTGCCCTAGAGAGCTTCAGCTAGAGCTGCCTCTGCTGCACATCGTCACTGCCACCAGACTGTTCCAAGAATAGCAAACAGAGCAGTCTTTGCTCTCTGCCTAATGAATCCCTCTGCTGAAAGTGGGAGTAGAGCATCTCGAGGTCAAGAGTGGGTTTCTTTCAGTGCATCAGTCTGCTGTAAGGCACAAGAGTGGCAGCCGGAGATGACTCCCTCGCAAAGAGGACTAAAGGGCAGGCCAGGTGCCAAATATGCAGGGCCGTACCCAGTGCACCCAAGGATATTCAGATGCAAAATACTTGTAGATCTGATACACTGTTCATAACTTCACGTTAGTGGGAAATAGGGCAGCATGGGTTTTTCCAGACTCCCGGAGGCCTTGGCAAAGAGAGAAGAAGGAGGTAAACAGGTAAGGCAGGAACCAGAGGAAGCAGAACAAGCAGGCTCTCTACCCAACTCTGGCAGGCAAACGCCTCTCTGACTACCTTACCCACAGTCATACGCACCATCTGGGCAAAATCTGTCCCTGTCCCAGTGTGGTACCCTTTGACACACCAGTTCTTCAGTAGCTCCAGACCTGGGAAGTGACAGAAGACAAGAAGCGAGAATGAACAGCCAGGTTTGCAAAGAGTTAAGCCTTCCCAGCTTGGAGCATGTAAATATGCTGCACTGACCACGCAGAACATGCTACGCAATAACTACTTGAACACGTGCCTGACCGGCAGCAAACGGGGTAAATCAAGGGCGTTCACCCTTTGTATGAGTAAACACCAGCACATGGGCTGCTGCAGTGCCTGCCTTCCTCCCAGGGAGCCAAGACATTCCATGCAGCAGGCTCAGTGAAAGAGGGAAACTGGGGCAACACAAGATTTGCCAAATTAGACCAGATTGGCTGTCCCCCTGAGCCCAGTGCCTGCCAACGGCAGCACCTGATTTGGGCTGCACCGGTGAAAGTTCCTACAATGCAAATGTAGAGCAGCTTTGCTGTCATCGGCCTCTTTCCCAGAGGAGGGCAGCTCAGGCAACCTCCTCCTTACACAGCACTGATCAGCTGCAGCATCCCAGTGTATCATCTCCTCCCTGCAGGGATTCATCCAGAGCTCAATGTGGACTGAGACCTGGTCTCCATCCCTGACAGTGGGACCGAGCTCATCACTGGTGTGACTGGAAGGGACCATTCCTCTCACCACACGCAAGACACAGTGCTCCAGAGCACAAGAGAGGTCATCTTGAAACAGAGCCATGTGTTTGACTGCACTGACCAGAAATAACCCAAAAACATTGAGAAATCCGGGGCTGCTCCCATCCTGTTTTTTTTTTTAAGAGCCTTCAGGTCACAGCAGAAGCTAAGGTGCCTTGAGATTTAAGAACCAGAAGAGCAATGGCCAGGTACTTGATGCTGTCCAGCTGGGATTACTGTGGTTTGCTATACGATACCAGTCCTGGCTATAGGAGAAATCCTTGCTGTCCAAACCCTGCTCCTCAGTGACCTGTCAGCAAGCCCAAGAATCTTGTAAAAAAAAAAAAAAAACCACGTGTTGGGGCTCAGGGGAGTGGGGCAGCTTGGACACCCTGTCCTCGGTCTGTGCACCTACCCAGGCTTTGCACCTTGCTGGCCAGGGTGAGAGGAAGGCATGAAACACAGGGGAACAGGAAAGGGACAGGGGAAGTTGGGTTCTGCTCAGAGGTGAACAGCAATTAGTGGGTAGAGTAAATCCGCTCACTGGGCTGCTTTGGGGAAGCTGGAGCACTGAACCAGGACCCTGGCCTAAGCTACAAAGTTCAGGGTAGCACTTCAGTGAGAACGATGACAGGATCTTCCTTCCAGCTGACGGGAGAGCATCCAGCAAAGGTATTAGCGAGGCAAAGTATGACACATGCTGACAGCGCAGCTGGAGAGGGCTATGAGGTTTCCATCTCCCTGTGAAAGACTGTTACTGACCCCTTTGATATTTGCTTTAACACCAGTGTAAAGGGACAAAAGCATTTTTCTTTTTTCTCTGCATGACAGCCAGGCTGGGAGCACACATACGGACACCACAGTGGAGGGCCAGCTCCTGCAGAAGCTTATCCAACTAGATCAGATGTTGGACAGAGAGGCCTGAGCCACAGTCTCTTTCTTTTTGTCCACTAATCCATCATGCTAGACCTCATCGATTCTCTCTCTCAAATAGCCTCTACTGTTACCGAGACAGCCTTGGGTGAGAAGGAATTGGTCCAGTCACCTCATTAAAGGATGTTTTTTATTAAAATACAGAACTATGTCCTGGAAAGGTGGAAATGTTAGCTAGATTTCTAGTGCTTAGGAAAAATTTCTGTCTGCATGCTGACAGTTTTTCATCAATTAGAAAGCTGCAGGAGACCAGGGAATAGGCCAAATTTTTCCTTCCCTTCCCAGATCACCTGTAAGGAGCAAAGATAGGAACTCCAGCTGTTTTTCCCTCAAAAGAGGCCAGAGCTACAGGCTGATGTAGCTAATCCCAGCCTCTTCATCCCCAAGGCACCTAGAAGTGCTGGTGCAGAACAGCCATCACCTCTTTTCAACTCAGAATAAGCTTTTTGTGACATTTGAAGCAGTCTGGGAGGGTAACACTTTTCCTACTGGTTAGTGTGCAGGCAGGCAGCTCCCTCTGAACATGCGTAGCTCAGAAGCCTCCCACGACTGCCAGCAGGCAGCCTGCCTGACTCAGGTGGCTGAGCCAGGCTTTAGGAGGGCAGTTACCTTTCTGTCTATTCAAGTAGTATTTGAGCTCCCACTGGGTCACCAGGATGTTGAAGTAACGAGGCTGCTCAAAGAAGCGCAGGTACCGCATAGAGATGTGGCTGGGGAACACCCTCTCGAACTGCCCACGCCGGGAATACTCATCCTCTGTCTCCACCAGGATGCGAACATCATCTGGGGTCAGGGTATCCAAGACAGAAGAATAAAAATCCTGCAGACAAGAGCAACCCAGGGTCAGGGAGAAGTATCTCTCAAGCAGAGGTCTCCATGTGTCTGAGCTCTTTGGGGCACAAGTCACATGGAAACTGAAGGACTCTAGGCTTAGTGATAACATCAACACCGCACAGAACTGAAGAGATCCCCAATTCTGCAGCCCAGTCTCTCTCACACACACTGCCAGGAGGGACACAAGGCCAGCAGCCCTGCTAACCTGCATGGGGTCAGCAGGTAAAGGCTATAAGAGCTGCACAGAGACATAAGGAGGAACAGGCAGTGCTCAGGCTCTGTTTTGGGGACTAGTGGGCAATGCGCCTCTCAGCACACACTTATTTATATGTACAGATGAGTCAGTGAGACACTGGCTTAAGCAAAACCAATTTATTTCTGATCAGTGATCTTGTAACCCACTGGAGCCTAAGTGTGCCCCATCACTTGGCTGACCTCAGAGAGGGACACAATATGAAGAGGGACCAGGGATAGACCTGTGGGACTGGTGGGGACAAGGGTTTGGGAGGATGGTGCAAGTATCAAAGGAGAATGTTTCATACCTGGTCAGGTATCTTCTGCATCAAGTAATAGGCCTGCTTCATCTTCTCTGCTCTGAAATGCTCAGACACTGGCTTGGGCTTCTCCTTCAAAGCACTGTCCAGACTGAGAACACAAGAGAGGTAGAGCATTTAAGCAAACAAGACAAAGCCCTGCTATGGCAGACCTGCTCCCACCAATTTCTGAGAAAGCAGTGACACCCTCAGAAAGATGCCATGGAGGAGAGAACACTTTCTCCAAGGATTTCACTAGTTCCAAGATCAGTGACGCACCCACAGCCGTGTCCATCAGCACAGGACCCAGGAAGGCTGTGGACAGGGAAACTGGGAGGACTCTGCCAGCTCCTCACTAAGGCATTTCAGTGGTCCTTCATCCAAAAGGTGAACCATCACTTCACACTCACATAGGATGCAAGAGGGTCAAAGATACACTGTGACATGATTCACAGCACATGAAGCCTGGGGGGATCTCATGTTTACACTGCACTTGGAACACAGGTTCCTAACTGCAAGCACAGGGATGGGGGTACAAGTACTCAGTACTGGTACTGTACAAGGAAGTAGAGAACTCCTAGATCAAAAGCTTCCTCTGGCATCCAAGAACTCTCAAGACTTGAATCCAACTCCAGCTCCACATGCCATGGGAAATCCCAGTCTTTGTACTATCTGACCAAGAACCATCTGAAGTATTCTAAGCACCAACTGAACCACTCAGGGATACCAGAGTCTGGGAGATACTTCTTGAAAACCTTTCGACCAAGCTATCAACACAGCTTTTTTTGTTCTGCTGCTGCAAAAGTTATTAGTTGTGTGCAGATTGAAACAGGGGGAGCAGAGCCTCGAGGCTGTGCTGCATGGTGCTCAGGGAACATACAGATCTACCGGAATTAGGCCCATACGCAAAAAGACCTTTCATATCCTTCCCAGGGCAGGAGATACTATTAAACAACCTTGCCCTGGATGCAAGAACTCTGGTAATGCATCATCTGAACCATGTTAAGGATTCGCTTAATCCCCTGCAGTCCCTCCGAGGACACCTGCCCTTCAGCACCTCTATCGGAAGCCACAAACCAGCGTGCGAACAAAGCACCGCAGATGAGCTGGCGAGAGCTCCCCATCTTGAACAGGCCCATGCTCCAGCTTCTCCCTTCACTGAAGGCACAGGCCACACAGAGGGCAAGAGCCCCATCTTTTGGTATGCCCACACATCACTGCATGCAGGTGCTCATCCCAGCAAGCTGCTCCTTCAGTGACATATGGTCAGCAGCCACTCTGCTGCAGGGAACAGACTGGTTTCCTCCCAGTCATTGGGTTTGAAACCAGGATAAGCCCTAGTTGTGGTGAGGAACAGGGGCCTGGGTGGACACATGCCCAGGAATTAACCTTATGCAAGAAACAGTCATGTTAGCTGCAAGGTTAAGACTGTGCACACCCCTACCCATAGGTCTGCAGCCCCCAACAGCAGCAGTCCTGCCTAAGGAACTAACCAATCCAGCCCTTGCAAAATAACAGCTGCTCCTCTTGCTCAAAGCAGTGGCACAGCAGTTCTGGTAAGTCAGAGGGCAAGTGGATCCAGCCCCAACAGAGCCAACCAGCATGCCCAGCAAAGCTTTCTAAGCTGCAGATGAATGCTGCTTTTGTAGGCAGAGAGGACTTTCATTCCTGCAATCTGGAGAGGGAAGCTTCAAGCAAACTGAGAGGCTGTGAGGCTCAGCATCATATTAGTTCTGGCAGGGGGAAAGACAAGAGAGCTTGACTAACTGCAGAGCAAGCACAAATTACATTGGCCTCACTTCCAACTATGGACCTGCAGAGAGGGCATAAATCCTTCTGCCTTGAAGAGACTGCAGAAACCAGATACCCAGGCAATGATGCAAGTTCCTTGGACCCACATCTGAAGGACCAGCAAGCACAGGCTCTCAACAGCCTAGCATTTGCTGGGCTCTAAGTAGCCTCCCAGATGAAATCTCTCAAGAAAAGCCTGCCTCTCTGACAGAGAAGGGGGCTGACCTGCAGGTAGAGCTACTTCTTGTCTCTGGCCTTGAGGCCACGCTGTCCATGCTGGGCAGAACAAAGCCGGCAAGGTTGAGAAGGTCTCGAATCATCTGGCCCTTGATGCTCACATCCAGAGGCGAGTTGGAGTGGAGGCTGCAGAGACAAAGCATAACAGCAGTTTGAGTGACAGACTGGAGGTGCTGAGGCCCATGGCCCTGAGATCAATCCCTGGGTTATTACTGACCAGAATACAAACAGCAAGCAGCCTGTCCCTTGCCTAATCACAGTTGGCCATGAGACACTGAGAGAAAAATCCTGACAACAGCTCTTTGAAAGGGGAGTTCCCCATCAGAAATGGTTCACTTTTCCATCTCTTCCCAAATTTGCTGGAAATAGGCAAATCCATTCCCAGAGTCCTGTGTAGGACCATGGCTCTGTGTCCAGCTCATGCCCATCCACTCTTGCCAGCAGGAAAGGCCATGCTCAGTTACACCGCAGTTCCCAGCCGTGTCTGCACAGCTGACACTGCCTGGCTGGGTGCTGTCAGCAAGGAAGAAATGGTGCATGAGGCAGTGGAATCGCTGATCACTTTTGCCCACGCAGAGAAGAAATCTCTGCCATCACCCATTCTGTACATGACACATCCCTCCTTGGCCTTCCTTTTTTAACGTATTCTTCCCTGGCTCTAGCTGGAGCATGCCTAACAAAGCTTTCTGAGCTGCAGATGGATGTTGCTTTGGCAGACAGGGAGGACCTTCATTCTGGCAATCTGGAGAGGGAGGCTTCAAAGCCCACAGTCTTTTAGCACAGGGTACAGGGGACATCACAAGCCAAACTCATTTTGTGTTAAAGGGAAGGCCATTATTCACTCTGCTGCAGCTCAGAATCTGCTTTACCTTGGGGAAATATTGACCTCTAAGATCCAGGGCTTGAGGTTTTCATCCAGCATGATATCAAACCCAAACAGCTCATGGCAACAATATGGCCGGCGCACGTACATCTTCACAAGGCTGTTCACATAGGGCTCAGATCTGCAAGCCAAGGAAAAAATGCTTATTTCCAACAGTCAGACAGCAGAGGTCTGGCTGTTCACAGCACATGCTGACGGTTCTGGAAGCATAATGCAGCCACATGCTGCAAGATCAGGTAGGTGAGAGACCGACACAGGCCTGTGAGCTGCTACTGCTGCACTGTGTACGGATCCAGCACTGCATCCTGAGCATCCCTACTCTGTCAGGCAGCATGGATTGCTGAACACAAGATTCATCCTGCACCAGGGACCATTCTTCTCAGGCTCCCTGGCAAAGCAGGGGAGTGGGTAGCAAGCTGGGCAGCACCGGGCATACCACACCCTCCTGGCCTGCAGGCAGGCTCAGGAAATGTAAGGTGTATTTACCCACTGCAGCATGAGCATACATAACAGGATGAGAGGAAGAATCCAGACAGAAATACTGAAGCCAACAGTGGTGATACCATTTCAATTAAGAGCAAAAGGACCAGGCTGAGAGGGGACTGGAGAGCCAGAGGGGTCAGGGTGCACCGCACAGCCAGCCAAAGAGCAAGGCGTGCCAGGACTCACGCAATGATGGTTTTGATAACGATGTCCTTAATCTTCTCCCAGATGGCCTCACTATTCACTCCCTTCTGGGTCAGGTAATTCCAGAGAGCTTTGAGTGCCCTGGGAGAGAGAAAGCAAAGGAGGTAGCTCTGTAGCCCCTTGCTGCAAGGAGTGAAAGCAACAGAGGAGAGCCCTGACAACACTCTTCCCTGGCACAGCCATCCTCCTGCCGTCCTCAAGCCCCTCAGTTGCTGCCCTCCCCAGCGTGGCCCCTGGTCTTGTAGGCCCAAGCTACTAGGAACATAAATTTGTCCCAGCATGGTCTCAAATTAGCACATGAGCAAGGTAAGTCAGGCCCACATCTTCTCTTCCCTCCCCCTCCGTGTCCTCAGCAAACCTCCCCTTCCTGCAGGCCTTCCCCCGCAGCACTGCAAAGCAGCTCAGCAGGAATCCAGCAAGATCCTGAAAATGTTTTAGCTAAAGCCATTTCACCGAGGCTTCGGGGGGAGAAGAATTTTTGAAAAATGTGGGGAACAAGATGGTATGGGGGAGCATCTCTGCTTTTATAGGAGTTTTCCACACTACATTGAATGCTGCAAGCTACCCTGACACTGAGCCAAGGATGCTCAAATATTTCTCAAGTGAGAGCATGTGGCTAATGGCCAGGAATCCAAAGGTCATGCTTCCTGCATACAAGATGGAGTGGATTACAGCCACACTTATCTTTAACATGAGAGCAGCCAGCTTTGACTTGCAATGGCAGTACAGTAAACCCACACAATCCCACCCTCATGCGACTGCAACTGCTGGGAGGCAACAAACTCTGCTAAAAAGTCCCAGTGGAGAAACAGACCACTGTGCAGCAGGTCCCGGTCTGAGAAAGCAATCTGACCACAGCAAACCACTTTCTGCAACTCCCTTTGAAATGCAGTAGCCCTGTTCAGGCTGCGAATTGAGAACTCTATCCTGCACTATTTTTAAAAGGGTTCAAACACTACCATGGAATCAGAGGCAAGTGCCCGGGGCTTGCACCCGTTCACCCACAGGACAGCAGGGTATGGGAACTCCTGCAAGACTGCAGCCCTCCTTCCAAAGGCCTAGAAATGGCACCACTGCTCCTATTCACACCGAGCAGCACATAAATTAACATTCTGCACCAGGGCTGTCCCTTTTTCTGGCACCACAGGGAAGTCAAGAGTGAGATGGGTAGAAGTTTCCATCTAGCCAATTTAAGCATCACAATTACCCATTCAATTTCTAACAGCAAAACCAATCAGATTCTGCTTTAACCACATCCCATCGCCCCCACAATAGGGCAAAGGAATGAATGAACACAGATGACTGCAGCATTGGAAGCAGGAAATGGCACAGACACAGGCAGGATGAACAGCAACCACAGCCCAAGCAGCAGTGGACAGGATAAGTCACAAAGCAGGGAGACCATCCAGATTCCATTGACGCTAACTCATGCTAAAATCACTCAGCTCTTTCAGTTTCCCCAGTGGGAGCAGATGATACAGAAAGCAAGTTCAATTTTTGGGTAGGAATACTGAAAAAAGTCTGAATTAACAGGAAATATAAAGAGTTGCCCTGTGCCCTAAAAGCAGTACCTACCATTTGTGTCCCTGACAAGCAGTCTCATCCGAGTTGGACTTATACTCTGTGTTCTTCTTGTTCACACTGTAGTTGGTTAAGTGCACGAACTTGTTGCTGAGGCTCTCCATCGAGGAGGAGTACCTGGAAGAGGCAATAGGAGCACAAGCAGTCTGAGACTGAACTGGCTGCCCCCAGGTCCATCTCAGACCACTCTTAGCCGCCCACCAGCCCTGCTGCCTGAAGCTCTCTGACCCCACAGGCCCAGAGCTCATGGACAAAACATGAGACAGCACAGGCTTCCTTGGGACAGTGGAACGTAATCCCACCCTCACAGCGTGTCCTTAAGAAAAGGCCAGAGCATCGGTGAGCAGAAGCACTGCTGGAACTGCAGTAGTCTGAGGCACATAATGAAAACTAGAAGAAACATCTCAGATTCTGGTGTGCCACTTTTATGCAGAATGAAGCACAGACAGCATGTTTCAAGAACTGCTTTACACTGAGCTCATCTTGCATTGGGAAAGGTGGATGTAGGCAGCATCCTCTCACATTCCCTTTCAACACTGTCACCTGCAATGACCTCGTGCGTTTCCACTCTGCTTCTTAAGCAAGCAAGGTATAGCTTTTAGCATCACCATCTAGGGGATGACTCTCTCCTACCACAGCTGAGGCAGGTACCACAGCCACACATGCCCTGGCACCAAGGCAGTCCCAGCACCACTCTCCTGCACAACCTACTTGCAGCTGGCAAAGCGGACCAATCCATCCTTGAAGAGGTAGACCCTGAGGGGATCATAGCAAGTGACGTAAACATAGATCCTCAGGTCAAACTTCTTCCCGCCAATGAGGTAGGGTTTGTGCAGATACCTGCAGGGGCAAGTAAGTTATGATTTTCATGTGCAGGAACATCTCTAACCCCCAACTCAGAAGGCTTGGTAAAACAAGGGATCAGTGTAGAAGCCCTTTTGCACAGCATTTCCAAGTTAATCACATCACAGTCAAAATGAGAGAAAGAGCAGCTCTCCTATGCATGGGGAGTTCCTACAGCACAGGAGCAGTGTTCCCTTTTGTTCAGTTCCATTTTGAAAAGATTTTCCCCAGCTCTAAGGCACAGTAGTTTTTCCACACCCACAAGACTGATCACAGTATTCAGGAACATCTAAGACATGCAGTACAGCACAGATGGTTTGGTACAGTGAGCAGAAACAGTTGGATATTTTAATCCAAATCATTTGATTATTCATCCTAGAAGTTCATGATCTCCCATAGGAAATTTATCACTTTGCATGAGAAGTGGACAGGGAGAACAAACAAGCAAACACAGCAGTTCCCTGTCTGCCAAACACTGCACAGTTTTCCTGCCCTCAAGAATCTTCCCAGAAAGCAGCATCAAACCAAGACAAGATATTCCATTTTTCTGCAGAAGGGGAAGAAGATTGACAACTCTGTTAATTCAAGAAAATCCTTTTACCAATATCTATACATACTGAGGTTCTTACTGAACCATTCTAACTTGGATAAGAACAAATCTTTGACAACTGCCACCTCTTCCCTGGGACTTGGATAAAGTTTGTCTCCAAACACGCCAAACCCCAGAGTAGAGAGCAGTGGGAGCCAGATCACAGCAGAGCCAAAGCTGTTCACCTGCCAGATAGAAGCTCCAGAAAGCTCATGAAGCCAGTTTATATCCGAGACCTCAAATATCTACGCAAAGACAGCAGCACTGACAGCTGCAGCTGACAGAGCCAGACTTCCAGCAGCAGGACACCCAGGCAGTCTCCAGAGAAATCTCAAGATGCAAATCAGGTGCTTCTGCTCTGCCATACAGTGGCATTGGCCCAGAACTGGCCAAAGAGACCAGTCACTACAAGGTCCCAGGCTGTGTGTGAACCATGTTTTTTCCTTCACTCACCTCTGTACTAACAGCGGCCTCCTTTTCGGGAGCTGGCTCCATTTGTGGATGACCTGGATACCAATGCCTCTTGCCGATGCTGGCTGCAAAACACAACCAAGAAGGGATCAGATCTTCTCCCTGCAGCTACAATGGGACAGAAGGTTGAGCTCTGCTTTACACTTACTGGTTTCACAATCCATTTCTGTCTGCTAGCTCCTTCCTCCCACGCTTTCTTGAGTAATTTGATGTCCTGTGGCAGGATGAAGGACTGAGGGAAGAAGTTAAACTCCTTTTTCCCACAGCGAGCCTGCATCTTCAACAGGTTGCGCCACAGACGGTCTTTTCTCCCAATTTGAAATGAGCCGGGGAAGTGGTTCAGCTGGAAAGGAACCCAGATGCTATGACACCTCCCTGCTTCCCCAACTCCTTGTCTGCCCCTTCCTACTCCCTGGCCAGAGGATACGTCCTTTCTGAATCCAGTGCAGGGTGACACTCTTTGCTCCCCTCCTAGGATTGCACCCAAATTGATTCCACCTGAAGCTCCTGAAGCTTTGCAGGGACAAACCACATGGTTTGGAGCATCACGGCTCTCCAGAGCAAACAGGTACTTGTGATAGATACCAAAACTTTGGTCCCTCACAGGCTCCCCAAGCACGAGCCACACCTGACTGTTTTGTGATCTGAATTAAGTACATCCCCTCTGCTGCACTGGCAGGGAGGGCACTGCCCCACCTCTCAATTCTGCCAGAGGAAGGACTGCTTTAAGCAGCAACAACTGAATTTAGACAAGCTCACAAGCGAACAGAATTTGGCTACAGCCTCAGCCTGTGCAAGAGCCACAGTAGAGAAGCTCACCAAGCTGTGCCTTCCTCTTGGGCTCCTCTCCCAGTTCTGGAAGGGACACTGCAGGGACAGCCTGCACAGCAAACACCTGGCCCTGAGGAGAGGGGCACCCAATTTGTTTCCAACACACTCTCCATGCACGTGAAGGTCAGCCCAAAACATCCCCTACCTTTTGGTGCTCCCTGATGGCTCTGAAGCTGGGAGATTTCATGTGGTGGCCCCAGCAACCCAGCCAGTCATTGCTTTCTGTAGGAAAAACAGAAAAGTCCAATACCAAGCATGCTTCCACCCATAACACCCTCTCAACCCACCAGCACCCCATCTCCTGGGGCAGGCAGAAGCATGCCAGGGATGCTGCACAGCTATAGTACAGAGCACTCATACTGGCTATTGCATGATTACCAACCCTGAGAACTCTGGCTGTGGTCAGAGAGGATGGCTTCTTCTTCAGCACACGGGGACAAGGGGCAGCAGTGCTGGGGCTGGCACCAGATGATGGCCAGCCTCCCTACAGTGGCAAGCCAGAGCAAAGCTGCCCCACATGCTGCCTCAGCTTCTGACAGTCCAGGAGTAAGTCCTTGTGGTCCGTACCAGGGACAAGCCAAGAGGGAGATTAGGCCCTGCCAGGACCCACAGAGCTCGGGTACTGCAGATCAGGCAGGCAGAAATGGGAACCCAGCATCTTGCAGTGCCAATCTTGTATTGCTTCTGCTCTACTTTTCTCAGTCATTTTGCCTTCTCAGGCTCACAGACTGGAGGTGAGGAAGGACACAATGTTGCCACCCACAACTTACTTTTGCTAACTCTGAAGTGGGACCTGCAAACAGTTTGCTTCACAATGTTTGGTGTGACTCCACACATTTTCCACCGCAGCAGCTTCCTCTGCTCCCAAGGCAGCTTTTCCACTAGGAAGGCAAAAAGTTAAGGATTGAAGGAAAACAAACACAATACCTGGATTTTCTACAGCTGCAAGGTTCTTATGATTTGCTGCACAGGTACCAGGCCTGCAAAGAAGGGTGCGTAGCCGCCGTTGCAGAACTAGCATGGAGCAGAAGACTCCATAGCTGGGGGAGATCCAGGACACTGGAATTTAGTGGCAGCGTGAGTCATGCTCTAGGCTATGGAAGCAGTATAATTTACTCCAGTCCTTTGGACCTCAGAGCAGTGCTGGGTCTCATCATGGGAGGGGTGAAGGGCAGCCACTCCAGCCAGCTCCCGGCTGTGTGCTGGCACCGCCTGCTTCCTAATTAACGGGCTCGCCAATCTCACCCTGCGTGGCAACAGACCCTGGCTCACCTGTCTCATCCCGAGTACTGAAGTAGATAGTTGGAGGCACATTAGGGAATAAACTGCAGACAAGAGCTGGTTTGAGCACTTTTTCCTGAGCCTCAGCAGGCTGGGCCAGGCACTTGATGCAATTCCTAGGAAAGATGAAGCGGGTGGCAGTTGGCTAAAGGTGAAAAGTATCACAGGGAGGAAGGGGGAAGCCGGAAGGAGCCTTGATCCTGGTATCAGGAATTTGCACCATCATCGTAATGTGGAACAAGCAATGGGCATTAAGGTCAGTAACCCAGCCTGCAGCGATGAGGGGATGAGCTTGCAATGAATGCACCCACCAAGTAAGCACTGTGAGGTTTGTGTTTTGCTGGGGCAAAGGAGTAGAGGTTTTTACACGACAAACCATATAACCTAGCTCATGGGAACAAGGAGTGGAGATTGTAATGCATATGATTTAGCTGTTCTAACCTCTTGGTTTTGGTGTGTTTCAGGGAAGAGGGCTGGAGTTTTACCCACTGTATGTACACCTTAACACAGCAAGCCCCAACACTGGGAAGGAAGGGTAGAAATTGTACCATACCTCTTAAGGTTGTGATGAAACAAAAAGTAAAGTTTGCAATGAACATATATTCAAATCTATGCCACTGCAGCCAGTGCAAGAAGCCACACTAGAGCAATCACTAAGGAACAAAGAGCAGCAAACTAAAAGGAACCACAACACACTGTCTACCCAGTCTCACAGGCCACCCCTTGCCTCACTAAAGGGACTGAGTGTAGTCTGTGGCAAAGGGATTGGAAACCAGGATGGGGGAAGAAGGGGTGTTTTCCTTATGTCCTTATGTATATTTTTTTGTGTTTTCAGTATCAGAATCAATAATTAAAAGTTTGTTAATTGGCAAAGGATTATATTAATTAACATTATCTGGCACAAAACTGGGTTTGCCCGCAACAAATTGAAGGCGGGAGACAGCTGCAAAGGCTTCAAGGCCAGCCCAGCACACAGCCTGCGCAGGGAAGTGGCCAACATACTTCCCTCCTTGCTGCAAGAGGCATTTGGCCCAAGCCCTGCTTCCCCTATATGCCCCAGAGGCCACCCAGCCACATCCTGCCAGAAACAGCTGCTGGGCCAGTTTACATCACCTCTGCAGCACTTTCACAACCACATATGCCCACCCAGAGCCCTGCAGCACCCTGAGGCTCAACACTTGCTCACAGGAAGCCTTGCTTGTCTCCCAGGTTAGTGATGACATGATAGCAAGCAGCAAGCTGTTGGGCAGACAGCAAAGCCTGAGGCAGCCATGGTGCAAGACCAGCTCCTGTTGCTGCATGGGCAAGTAAAGGTCACACAAAGGTCTGCCAGGAGTCACAGAGGCAGGGCTCAGATGACCACAGGCTGAGCAATCCTCCCCAGAGAAAGATCCTCACATAGCCTAAGAAAAACCCAGGCTCCAGGACTTGTTTCTAGGATGCAATGCTGAGACACAAGACCACAAGAAGCTTTTGCAATCTCTGGCTCAGGATGCTTCCACTCTGCTTCATCTGCCAGGCACTGATACTGCAAGAGTACAGTTTAATCCAGTAAACCTAACCCAAGAACTGGCAGTGCTAGTGAAATTAAGACCCATGTTTTGCTGCAGTGTATGCACACTTAGCACTTTGCAGGCTGCTGCCCGTAGCCAGAGAAGTAGCTCTGGCCTGCAGTGCACCAAGGAAACTCACTTTGGCTGGGAAGTCTGTTGCTACCTTGTCTCCATTATCCCACATGCTACACATTTCCTCTGTCACCAGGGAGGGCAAAGATGGACAAGTCTGGATAAATATGCCAAGTTCAATGCAGTATTTACAGCTACTAACCTGGATACAAGACTCATGGAGCCATTGGATAACACGTCAGTAACAGAGGAAGCATCCGAGTCACCTGCAGGAAGGAACAAACTCAAGTTTTGTCTCTGTGAGGAGTGAACACACATAGAGTTAGGAAGGGAAGAGAGAAAACAAATGCTCCAGGGGACAGAGCCTTCCAGCTGCCCCAAATCCTTGGATCTTGGGTTTTGCTCACTAATTGGTATTGTAAAAAGCAGGGAAAGGGGCAGAGCTGACAGCCCTACACAGAGAGAAGATGAGTAAGTTCTGTAGCAGCACAGTGGCGAGCCCTAGCCTGCTCCCCAGAGGAACCCATGCAGGAACCCTTGCCCTCCTTGCTGCTACATCACTTTTGGGTTCAGCACATCCTGAAATGACAGCATGAATGTAAGACAGGAGGACAGCTGCGCTCACCCCCAGACCCCAGACAGCTCCCACACTCCCAACTTTGAGGCATGGAGCAGAGCCCTCCCAGGGGAACCAGCACTCACTGTCCTCATCCTCCTCCTGACTGCAGCTCTCATCCAGGCCATCAGGAAGTTCTTCCTCTGCTTCATCCTGGGGATGGCTTGGCTCCAGCAGTGACTGCTCAACAGTGGCACTGGGACAAAGGACAACACATCAGAAGGAATGGCACATGCTTTCTAGGGCCAAAAAAACCCAGAAGCTCATGAGGCAGCATGAGATAGTGTGGGCAGGGGAGTGAGAGCACTGCCCTCTCCAGTGCAAGCACTCATCCCAAGCTAGCAAGATGGAAAGGCCCCAGAGCACCCTGAGAAGGAACATGTTCCAGAGCAGCCAGAAAGCAAGAGGCACAAGGACACCCCTTCCCAGCAGGAGAGCAGGAGCTCCATGTCCTTGCATCAGCTCTGTGTTCCTTTATGAACCCATGTCTCTGACTAGGAAAGCTTGGCTCGACAGCAGGCTTCACTCAACATACTTGCAGAGCCTGCCACTGCAGGCATGGCCCCATGACTGAAAAACAAACTAGAAATGCCATACAGCAATTCCATGCTGTGGCTGATGGAGAAGGTGGAAGGGCTTGTGTCAAGCTGGGGGGGGGCAGGAAGGCTACCACACCAGGATGCCACAGTTGGGTTTTGCTCAGGGACACAGCCCATGGTAATCCTTACAGCCACCCCTGTACTGCCCACAGTGCATCCTCTCCCAAAACACACAGACACAATGGCTAGCCCAGCCCAGCCTGCCACAGCCTCCCTCCTCCTCCTGCCTCTACTTACTCAAGCTTTCCTGGGACCACAGCCTGGACCCACTTCTTCTCTTTTTCCAGTTGAATGGTGGACATCTGTTTTGTCACTTCGGAGACGGCACCGACGTGCAGAGGCTCAGCTCTCACCACCCGATTCCCCGCACGCGGGCTGTGCACGCCCACGAGCCGGCAGTCAGAGGTGCCGTCGAGAGCGGCAGCGCGCGAGGCCAAGGGACAGACGCTGACCCGGTTAGTGCAGGCAACGGCACCACTGGTGCCCCTAAGGCTCGAGTTACTGTTAAGGCGATGGCTCCCCCGCTCCAAGTTCAGAGGAGCAATAGTGTCTTTCGGGGTGAGCTGCGCTCCAACATGCTGCCTCCTCCTGCTGTTCCAGTTGGACAGGCTGCCCACCTTTGTAAGGCCAGAACTTTTGACTTGGCACCCAAAGCCGTTGCGTGCGGCAGCCTGACTGGTTAGCTGCTGCACAGCCTTCAAGAGGCTTTTCTCTGGTTCCTTCTCTTTTGAGCTGTGAACTCTCTTCTGAGTGTCCCGCCATGAGCACTGGTCCTTCCTGAGGACAGCACTGCTTGGCACAAGGGTCAGGGAGGGGACCATGGTTTTCTTCAACACAAGGTCGCTGTTCGTCACTGCTCCATTGATCAGGCTGCTAGAGAAGCTGTCTCCATTGCCCCCAGAGTGGGGCCATGAGGCAGCAGGAGAACTGTGGGATTTTTCCACCTTTTTGATCTCCAGTGACTGCAGAAAAGGCACTTTAGCACTGCTTGGACGTAGGAAGGAGTTGTTATTGAGCACTGGTCTATAGGAGCTGGCAGCCTGCTGACCTGAGCTGAGGGCAGAACCTTTGACCCCAGTCCCAGACTGCTCCTCCACCAGCACAGGAAGCAGGCAGGGTTCCATCAGCAAGGAAGACATCGCCCTTCCTGTGGCAGAGGCAGTGCCAGGAGGGCTTTGGAGGGTGTCTTCAGTGGGCTGTGCGTGGCATAGTGATGGTGAGCACAAGAAGCAGGATTGCTGCAGAGGGATCCCTGAGGGCAGCAGGATTCGATCCTGGAAAGCACTCACATACCTCTTTAAATTCCAGGCGGGTTTTGCCTGCTGCTGAGAGAGGCGCCAGGCCCAGCACGGCTGAGGTCTCCCAGCCTGAAGGGTGCCTGACTTGGGCCCAACACTCTTCTCCTGTTTGGGGCCCAGATTAGCATGGTCTGGTCCTGAAGAGGCCATGTAGAGCCATAGCACGTGAGGCACAAGCAAGTCAGTCATCTACAGCAGCATCTTTGCTGGCCTGAAACAAGAGAACAGCATGAAAGGCACTGTTACCCTGTCAGGGCACAGCACCCAGCCCAGTGCACCATGAGGAGAGCAGGGTGAGCTGCTTTTCCTGCAGGATGAAAACCACATCTCCATCTGCTGAGCTCACCAAGAGTCTCCCCAGACCAAGTCAAAGAAGAGCTGGCATCTCACATGAAATCAGAGGATGCAAAGGAAACTGTAGAGAGGGACATCTGCAGGAAAGCTTGTACCCTGCAAACATGCAGGGGTGCCTGACCGCCAGCCAGGGCCATGGGGCAGCAGCCCTGTCTGCAAGGAGAGGCTGCCTGCCTTGGACCCACACAGCTATTGGAGCCCACTCTTACAGGTCTGTGTCTCCAGACTGCACCATATGCTCCACTACCAGCTCTCCTGACTCCACCACAAGCATCAAAATGTCTGCTTTTTTTTTTCTCCCCATTCCTTAAAGCTTCAGCTTCCAAGGTTACACAGCTAGGTGAGAACCTCAGCCCTGCTTTTAAAAGGAACATTTTTCACCTTTGTAACCCCAGAGAAAGGCTCAGTGAGGTCTGAGGGCATCCTAAAGAGCTCAGTGCTGAGAAGGCAGCAAGGAGCAAATGCAGGGCTGTTCTAACATCAACATCTCGGTTTCCAGCAGAGACTGGCAGTGCTGTGCAGTCATGTTCCTCCCCACTGCAGTCCTACAGAAAAATCTCCTGGAAGGAGCAACTGGCAGACTACAGAGCTGCAGACATAAGTGTCCTGAATCCTCCTAGAATGAACTATTGCACCACACCCGCAACATCCTCTTGCCTGGGGAGAAGGGAAAGAGAAAACAAACCATGAGCCAGTTATTTGTCTTGCTTTAACACATGCCTGGAGGGCCCCTGGATACAGCTGCGATAGGAATTTGTATTCCAAGCAGGCTGGCTGGCTCTTCCACCTTCCAGCTCTCATATGCTTGCATGTTTTTTTTAAAAAAAGAAAAAGTATAAAAAGAAGGGTAAGCAGAGCATCGACCATCATCCTCTTGGTTTTCTTGCAATACACATACACACTCCTGTCTCACCTGAAAGTCAAGCCTTAGATGCAGCAGTTAAAGTGTAGCTTGGAGACCCTGAGGTTGCTCTGTAGCACTGTGATAGAAGCTCTCACCACCACAGGGCTGGGTCAGACAGACCTACACTTGCCAGACCTCAACCTGTGAATCAGCCTCAGACTCCAGCACATACCAGGTCAGCAGCATCTCAGAAAGAGGCTGTACAACATGGAACATCCCATGCAGGATCGCAGAGGAGCTACACATTCTCAAGGAGAGATGCTACCCTGCCAAGCTCTGCAAGGAAAGTTCCAGAGCCACTCCATACCCACAGGGCTGCACTGTTTGTTAGCACTTGTACAGTCAAACTGTGAACTCCTGATGAAGACAGGACGTCTGCATCCTTATGGGAGCTGCAGCCCAGAGGAACTCCAAGTCCCAAAGGGAAGTGAATCCCACAACTGAGATGTACCGCACTATTCGACTGCTACCCAATCTGCCCCCGGCAGCAAACCTGGCTGTGTTGTGACATTCACAGCAATTAGCACAGAGCAAAGAAGTTGTGGGTCAGATGCCACCACCTGCCTGGCTCAAGTTTCCCCCAGTAACCAAGGGAGCAAAGCTCAGCTTCCACACACTACCCCCTCAGATGGTCAAAAGCACACTCAAACCACAAATCGAACCTAGTACACCAACGAACTAGGTGTGAAAGAGCAAATTAAAATTCAAGGAGGAGAATGAAAGTCTTCCCGGTGTCCCTGCCTAGAGGGGACTGTCACTGTGGCATCACAACATGCCCTGCCAGCTTGGCCACTGCCTGTGCTCTCACCCGGCTGTCAATGACCTTGCAAAACCAGCCTGCAGTGAAAGCCATCTGTGCCTCATCTCCACCCGGCTTTACAGCTATCAGTGGATCATCCCACTGTAAAAATAAAAAGTGATGGGGCCTAATGAAGCTGTAAAAAGGGATGTGGATCTTACAATCAGCTTACACACAGGTGTGAAAATGCCAGAAGCCCTGTGTGACCCCAATCTGGAGTAAGTGCCAACAGCGGCACAGATGTGACCAGCACAGACACGGGGGGGGTACTGCTGGCAGCTGCTGGGGTGGAAATCTGGCCATGGCATGGCCTCAGCTGCCACTGCCTGGAGCCCAGCCTCATTGCAGCACAGGGAGAACATGCTGAACTTGTCTCTCTACAGGGCAGTTTTGCCATGGAGTTGCTCAGTCAACACAGGGCAGGAGTGCACTGGAAGCTGTGCCTACATAAGGAAGGGAAGAAGCAGGGCCTTTAGTTCAGCTTCCAGGTGAGGATGGTGCCAGCCAACGGCTAGTAATCACCATTTCCCCATGGAGACACAGGAGCTCTGAGAGAGGGGCAGGAAGGATGAAAGGAAGATGCACCCACATGGAGCAGGTGAGGATGCATCCAGACTGGCAGAACCAGCCCATGCTGCCTTGTCTTTCCCCCTCTGCCCCATGTCCTTCCCTGCATCCACCCTTCTGTCCCACCTGCACACCAGCACAGTCACTCCTGATGTCCACCTGCAAACCATCTCCCATGCTCACTGCAAGGACAGCGCGACAAAGCAGCTGCTGAGCATCCAGGAGAACTGGTGGAGATAGAGGCACCTTCACATGCCAGGCTATGGCCACAACAGGGCAGCAGCTGCCAGATCTCTGTGGCTCTGGGCAGGAAAAACATCATCTGCCTCAGGGTAAATCCCTACTGATTACCAGTCAGGGAAGTTTTCCCTTTACATTTAACTCAAGTCAGAGTTTTGGGGTGGAAGAAGGTCACAGCTTAATGCAATCTCTAGTTCTGCCAACCCAACCCTATGGCAAAGGAGCTGGTATCCATTCTGCAGCTCACAACAGCAGTAAAACTACACTTTGGAATTTTATTGTAGAAACATGAGCTGGGAAAAGCCCAGGATAAACTGGCCAGGCTGGAATTCAAACCCAACCAAGTAATTAATGGATTTTGGCTTGGACTTACTGACCCACAATACAGAGGCCAAAGTTGTCACTGTTGGAGTGACCGTACAGCTGCACTTGCTTACGACTATTTTGCTAGCACCTTTTATTGCCACACAGCCTGCTCAGAGGCTTCAGGACATCAGCTGGAGCACTGCCACAGCCTGTGTGAATGTCACACCACAGGCACACAGGGCCACCACACGCCCTGGCCTCTGTGTACCCTAGCATATGTCAGTGAAAATCATTTCTTCCAGCCTGAGCCCCACTGTGGCATGTGCTCCCCTAATGGCAATGTGGCAGCTCTCTGCAGTCCCATTCCTAACAGGAAAGGACAAGATCATAAGAGCCCGGGTGTCACAGGAGTTTGGCTCGGGAGGTTATTTTAAACTCAGCTTGGTGACACACTTAAAATAACAAGAGCTTGCAAATGTATGCGCTGCGAGCTGACCTGATAACATGCTGTCAGCCTCACACAGCCCAAAGTCACAAGGAGAGGAGGTTAGACAACTGTAATTGCTATTGTTTTCTATGCCATTGCAGGGTGCAATTTCTGTTCTTTATGATTAAAAGGGATAACATCTTTTTCTAAATGAGACTCGAGTTCACATCAAGTTCCTCACTCGAAGCTCTGGGGCTTTTGATTAAAGCTTGAACAAGCAAGTTAACAACAACACCAAACAGGTAGGTTTTAAACTGAATATATTTCAAAATAAGGGTTTGTACCCCTTCAAAAAAATTTAAAACTTTGAACAAGTCCAACACCATTGATCTGAAACCAACTGATTGAGTGCCTAAAGCTGCTCCAACACCTGGTAGCTAGGTACGAACTTGTTGTTTCAACAGCACGGAAACAGCCCCCCCCCTACATCAGCTCCAGGAAACAAATTGCCTCAAGTGCAGTCACACACTGAGACAAAGCAATGTCCGAGTTCACCCACAAGTTCAATCTGAAGAGCAAAGGGTTCTGCTGGCCACAAGAAGTCATCCATGAGGACAAAACAGCTCAGAGACAGTTCAGCCAACACAAAAATGACAGTGGTGCAGGGACCAACAGTCGTGCTGCTTTGCCACACAGTTAAGCACTGTTGTTCCCTCTCAGCTCCAGTATCATCCTGCAGAACCACATTTTGGGTGCAAAACAAGAGGATGACAATTTCTCTCCTAATCAAGACCACAAGTTTTTGCTTGGCCACTCAGGTCAAAAGATACCAGTGAGAAACCACCCACTATGGGGATGCATCAGCAAATTCCACCTGCATCCTAGGATTACATCTGTGCCCAGAATTTGCGCTGGGGCTAGTAATTTCCATTCAACAGCTGCAGTGCTGAACTCCACTCCACACTGAACAAAGGAGGTATGAGAAGCGAATGGCTGCTCAAAATGAGCCTTTACCTAAGCAGAATGCTGCCCTGCAAGAGAAGCAGAACAGCTCCAGTGTTCACTCCCATTCCTGAGGTGGAGGCAGACCTCCTCAGGGGCAGCAGGGCGCTGGACCAAGCCGTGGGAGAGCTGGAATCCAGCCACTACCTCACCCTGTGCTGCAGCAAATGCCTCCCCCCATGCACACACAGGCTGGGCTGGGGACTGAGGGCTCTTGTGTTTGAGTTCACAAGGGACTTTCCCACCACTCTCAGGGCACTGGAGCACAGCGCCAGATGATGTGAAGGATTCCAGCATCCTTAGGCAGACAATCCAGGGCTGCAGCTTTGCCATGGAGAGAGTGCACCAGGGACATCTAAAATAAAGGGCTGTCTCAGTGCTCACACCGGGAGGGCTGACCTGGCTGTGACCAGACAGTGTGGGGGCCATAGCAAAGGGCAAAAGGTGCAGGGTGTGGAATCCCCCAAGGACATCAACTTTTCTCCCTGGCAGATTCCCCAGGCCCCAAAGTGGACACGCTGCACAGTGACAGTGGACCACGAAGCTCTGTTTCTCCAGCAGTGAAGCTGGGAAGTGCCTGCCCTTGCTCCCATCCCTGATTCATTCTTTCTCATCGTATGGGCTATGGGAGCAGTTGTACCGCAGCGTAAAACAAGAGTAGGGAAGCAAGTCTGGGTTAAAAGCAACAAGCTAAACCATGGGGTGTTTAACAGCATTTCACCAAGGAGGTCTAAAGCCCCTTCCTGAAGATCCAAACTGAAGGGACAGCAACTGAGCTTCACAATGGGAGAAAAACTACAGGAGAATTACACAGCAAGACTTGTGAAGACTTTGGCCACCAGTGCAGGAACTGACAGGTGGTCAGCACAGCTCCGTCTGGTCTTAGGCAGTCTGGCTTTTACTAGAGAAATAAAAGTGGAAGATTTGGAGTGAGTGGAACAAGTATAAAATATCAACACATAGTAATGAGACAAGAACTACTCAATTAGTTCAAAACACATAAATTCTTTGTCCATCCTCTGCTCTTGATACTTTTTACTGAAACATATCTACAACCAGGAAAAAAGGTTCCCAGGTTTGTCTTTCAATATATGCTAAGGACACTTCCAAGTCCATGACAGGAGTGGGAAAAATTCCTCTGGAGGCACTGCAAAAAGCTCACTCCATACAGCAATCTCTCAGAGCTCAGGAGTGGAGAAGAAACAGAGATTCAAGTTGATAAGAAGCTGCCAAATACTTACAGACTTGATGCCCAGGACAAACCTAGGAAATGCTAAGGAGTGACATCCAGCCAGGATGGCACAGCAGCCAAAGCACGCGACCTGTGTTGGTGACATGACATCACACAGGCACCATTATGTGGGGACAGTGACATTTGTCCCCTCAGCTTCTCCTCGAAAGGTGATCCCCGCTGTGCTGAGAAGGGCCTCAGGCATGACTGAGGAGTGGGAGAGGCCAATCTGTGTTAGAGACCTAATGCAAAAGTTAACGACTGCAGCAAGGCAGCAATGCAAGAACAGAATGCTACTATCTGCTGGGTACAAACTCTAAGAACAAAGGAAAACTTATTAGATAAAACTGTAATCAGACCAACAATTCACTGTTTATTCCCCCAAACTGTTCAGAACCCACTAGGTGTCACCTACTTGTTCAGTGAGGAACATACCACAATGAGCAAGAAAAGTAGCATCTCAGGGAGTCATGGAGGCAGGGTTTTGATGTGGAGCTGTGGTGCTGAACTCTGCCTCCCATGAGCTACCCACAGCCCAGCTAGGCAGGGTGACAGGAGGCTGGAACAGTGCTACAGGGCTTCACACACCTGTGCCCCTCATTCTCAGCCCAGACCCTGGAGGTATTCAGGAAACACTCCAGGCTTGTTTCAACTCAGCTCTGCCTTTCGCCTATCAGACCCATCAGCTTCTTTTTACAACACGAGAGCTGTCAAGCCAAGACCCCAATGGAAGGGGTCCAATGAACAGCCAGGCTGCCCCATTGCCCCACTCCGGCCTGGTCAATCCCAGCTCCAGCCTCACAGCTGCTCCAAGTGCCGTTGGAGAGCTTCCCTGAGACTGTAGCTGGCTGGGGAGCCAGCTCTACTCACTCCCTGCCACTCGCCCAGGGAATACGCTCTGTGTCTCATTTCTCCAAGTGAAAGTCTTTGAGGCCAAAGGTGCTACCAGGATGCTCTGTACTGCTCCAGGACGGCCTCACAGGCCGCCAACCCCAGCATTTCCCGCCACAGAGCACTCCCGAGTGGGGAATTGAACAAGGCCACGGCGAGCCCCGCGAGGAGGCCCGGGGGGGGAGCACGATGCCTCCTCGGGGCTGGGCACGGTGGTGGAGCAGGAAGGGCCGGGGAAGGCAGCGGGGGGCCAAAGGTCGTATGTCCCGGTGGGGGGACCCTGCGGGTGGCACTCAAGGAGACACGCATGCCCCGGGGAGCAGGACCCCGGTGCCGAGGGGCCCCGCCGTACTCACCGCCCGCCGGACGCGCCGGACCCGCCGCCGCCGTTACCATGGGGAGCCGGCGGGCCCACGTGACTACACCTCCCGGCAGCCCCCGCGCCGCAGGCTGCATCGCCCCCTGGCGGCGCGGCGGAGCGGGCCCCGGGGTGGCATCGGGAGCTGCCGGGAAACGGGCGCTTCCTTAAGGAACGGGCGGGGTTTTTTTTCTAAGACCGGCTTCCCCCGGGGGTCGCCCCTGGTAAAGCTGACCGGGCAGGGTCCCCCTCGGGCGGACAACGCGGGTTCCACGGAAAGTCGGGCTGGGGCCCGAGGAGGACAAGGGAAGCGCCGGTGCTGTGCCGGGATGCCTGGGCGTCACCGCTCGGCGCCGGTGCCGGGCGGCAGCCGGCGGGGACACGCGGGACCGGGCACGGCTGCGAGCCGGCGGAGGAGCTCCTCGCAATGCCGGGCATGAGGCGGCCGGGGGCTGCCGCCAGCCAGCGCGGCCAGCCTGTCGGGGGCTCCGAGGGATAGCAGCACCTGCGGAGCCAGGAGAGGAACAGGAGTCACCCACCCGCACGGCTCCTTGTCCCCACAGCACCAGGAGTCCCCGTGCAGTACCTGCTGGATCCCGGGGTGCTCGCTGAGGACCCGCAGCGCCACGAGGGCTCCCTCCCGCACGCTCTCCCGGGGGTCCTGGCAGGCCACCTGCAGCAGGAAGTGGGGGGCCCTGCTCTGGATCAGCAGGTCGCCCAGCTCTGCCCCGCGCTGGCCCAGGTTGCTCAGGGCCAGGGCCGCATTGCAGCGCGTCTTCGCCTGCAGGTCGCTGAGCAGCCGGGCCAGCGCGGGCACGGCCCTGCGCAGGGTCCCGGCCGGGCAGGACGCGTGGCCGGCGGCATTGCCCACAGCAAAGCTGGCTGCCTTGCGCACGCTGCCCTCCGCGTCCGACAGGCACCCCAGCAGGCTCTCCAGCCAGCCGGGATGGCTCTGCAGCGCCGCGGGAAAGCCGTGTCGGAGCAGGTTGCCCAGCAGATTGCAGGTTTTGGCCCGTATCAGGTATTGCTGGTGGCCGAGCAGGTAGGTCAGTGGCTGGTCAGCCACATCCAAGCCCCTCAGGATCCTCTGGAGAAAGGGCAGATGCTCCGAACAGACCCGGGCCACGTGGGTCAAGAGAGACAGGAGGTCAGTTGTGAGTGTGAGGTTGTCTGAGAACAAGGCAGATCTGAAAAAGGCAATGACATGCTCCGAGGCGGCAGCTTCCCTCACCACTTGGTCTATGACCTGCATGTCAGACACAACGAGGTGGCACAAGAGGCTCATAGGGAGCTCTGTGAATGAGAGGGGCAGATGGCGAGAGCAGACCTAAGGAGAAAGGAAAGACAGCAGTGCTGAGTGCGCTGCACTTGTGTGAGCTGAGCCAAGCCAAGCAACAGCTGAAGGTGGCCAGCAGGTCAGTGCAGGCCAACCTGTTCTGAGGGCTACGTGGCACCCAAGTGACATCCCTGTGTGGGCAGAAACTGACACCATGGTATGAAGTGGTGCCACACATTGGGGGCTGCAACGTGGGGACGTGTCTCCACAGTATGGGGGAGAAGAAAAACACAGTGCCAAGAAGATACCTGCAGCAGCTGGGCAGGGATCTGGGTGTCTCTCATAGCCTCCAGGATCAGTGCTAAGGTGTCTCTATCCACATCCTGGGCAAAAGGGAAACAGAGGAGCTGGCAGGCCTGGATGACCACAGCTGGGACAACCTCAGGGTCCCCATCCTCTCCTGCTTGCCTGAATTTGTTAGAGAGAGAGAGAGGGTTTAATACAGAGGTAATCAGAAAAACGACAGGGCAAGAGGCAGAGGGCATTCCCCACACCGGCACTAAAGAGAGGCTCTGCAAGTGCCAGGTTAGGAACTTCTCTGCCCTTGGCTTGCTCATGTCCAAGCCCCATTCAGTAGGTGAGCCCTGCCCACTTCAGCCCTTGCCACAACTCACGTCTGCGCCAGGCATTCCAGGAAGCTGGGGGACAGCAGTCTCTTCAGGGTCACCATGAGAATACCACGGGACTGGGTGAGCTGAGGCAGGCACTGGTGCAACTCACGAGTGAAGATGCAGAGGGCCAGGCTGAGGAAGAGCAGGGTGCCTGCAGGGGGAACAGCAGGCAGAGATGCAAAGCTAGGGAAGGCTGAAAAGTCTCCTCTCTTCTGTCTGTACTGCCTCAAGACTGCTCCATGGTTACTTCTGTGCTTCCCTGCCCAAAACCAAAAAATCTCCACCCCAGTAGTCACATCTGCCAGGGTGAACGTTCCCTGCAGCACGGATACCCTTTTTGTTCCTCCACAGCCAGCTCAGCTGAGCTGCTGCCAACTGGGCACAGCATGGGCCAGCCAAGTCCTCTCTCCCTAGAGGACAACTTGCAATCCTCAGGAAAAGCCACCTGGGCCCTCTGGCCTCAGGGAACAGATGCGGACAGGGACAGACATGGGCAAGTCTGAGGACAGGATGTGGAGCAGGGTCCAGGGCAGATGTCCTGCTGTCCTGCAGCTCCTACCTTGAGGGGAGAGGAGGTTCCAGTCTGGCTCTGTCATGGGGTGGCCTGCCCCTGGGGGCTCTCCCTCCAGCGCTGCCCTGTCACTGCCCACTTGAAGCACCACAGCAACACAATGCCAGACCAGGCTCCACAGCTCTGAGGAGGCAAAGCCCTGCTCCATGGCCACATCCTCCTAGAGTTAGAGGCAGATATCATGGTCCCTCATGGCCCTCCATGTGGTTCTGGTCCATAGCTCTGCCAGCCCCTTGGTCCTGGGAAGGTCAGGGCTGGATGGCCACGGCCCAGGGGCCCTGCTGTATCTGCCAACAGTGTCAGTCCCAGGGCATCTCTGCCTTCTCTCTCCAGTGTGCCCATGGATCACCCCTCCCTGCCTACCACTCTCTCATCAACTCTTCAGGGACATTAGGTGACTTTCATGGGGTTGCACAGCTCAGCCAAAGCTCCACAGTTCCCTGGCTTGCCTCAACCTCATTACCAATCCACATTCAGGTCTTTTTGACACCCCACCTTTTGGCAGGGACCAGGCAAAGGAAGATGGGCAGACTGGTACCTGAGCAAGGAGTTTCAGCAGGAGGAAAAAGAGCCCATCATAGAGACCAGCACCCATTGGCAGGGGAAGCTGCAGCTGTAAGAGAGTGGGGGACAAGCTGGAGCTGAGTGCTGGATCTGAGGGCAGCAGCACCACACCTGCACCCTTCTGAGCCCATCTTTGCACACCTCCGCAGTGGGGTGTGCATGGCTCCCCAGCTTCTTTGTCCCCATCTCATACCTTAGCAGGTGTTGTCAGCGCATTTGTCACCACTGGTAGGACTTCTTCTCCCTTGAGCTCCAAGGCTACCCCATGCTGACTGAGCTGTGCTAGGAGGAATGCTGCAGCACCCTGTGGGACAGGGAGAGCTCAGCACCTTTGTGACTTTCCCATCTACTTGGTCAGTATTGACCCTTCATCCCTCGGCCTCATCCCACCCTGAGTGAGGAATGGTGAGACCCAAATGTGATGTAGGGCTCTGCAGGGCTCTCAGTGGTGGCTCTGGTATGGGGGGCAGCTTACCACAAGGCAGACAACAGGAGATTGCGTGATGAGATCCACAGCCAAGGTAACCACCTCCCCAAGCCTGAAATACAGGGACCAGGAGAAAAGCGCTATGTTCCCACAGCTTCACACAGTGCAGAGCAGCAGCATTCAAACACCCCCAGGGCTTGGAAGCAGCCATCTTCCAGGAGGAGCCCTGGTTCACAGCACCTCTTAGTCCACACTGGGTCCTCTCACTGCATCCCCAACACCCACCCACACTGCCCAGCACTCTGCTATGTGTCCGGATTGGAGGGATCAGTGGAAGCAGGATCCCAGCTCTGGGCAGAGTGAGAGACAGAGGCTATTCAGGGCAGGGCATGTTCCTCTCCCACCCATGAGTGAAAGTGGGTGCTTACCTGGGAGGGGAGGCCTGAAAGTGCAGAGTGAGCAGGGCTAGCAGGCACACAGAGGCCTCACAGGCTGCCTCCTGGGCCACCTCCACCAAGGGGACCTGCCAAGGGAGCAGGAGTCACAGTGGAACACCAAGGGCACAAGGGGAGGAGGGGATGTTTTTGGGCCCTGGAGGAGAACTGCACTCTCCTAAACTCTTCTCCCCACACTAGAGTGGTGCAAACTGTGCTCGGAGGAATGTGTCCTGCTTGCCCAGACTCCTACCCCACCACCCCACCAGGCTGTGGTCAGTCCTACCTCACCCTTCAAGAGCTGCATGAGGAAACCCCACAGCTGTTGGCTCCTTCCCAGGTGCTGACACAGGCTTGGGTGGCCATGGCAGCCAGCATAGAGGATCTGTGAGGCAGAGGGGAGAAATGCACACCAAACTCCTGGGGACAGGAAGACAGTGACCAGGCCCACTCCAGTCATGTCCCATGGCTACCATGGGCTCATTTATTCAACTGACATCAGGCAGATGGGATTCATTAAGGCCTGAGCCCACAGTTCCCCCTTCCCCATACTCCTAATTCCAGAGCCAAGGTGTCTCTGGGCACAGCCAGATAAAAGGATGGGGCCATTACCTTCAGTACGTTCAAGGAGCAGCTTGAGCGCTCCAGTCTTCCCAGCAGTTTCCCAAGCTTCTGGCTCTCTCCTTCCATAAGCTTTTGAGCTACCACCTGAGCGACCTGCAGAAATCAGCCTGTTTTGCACCCTGGGCACCTAAGCACCGCACAGACTTAAGGAGTTTAATGCTAGCAACTAATTAATGAAAGAAGGCATTTGCTTCCTATGTGTTGCTTGTGTTTACAAAGGGATCCCCACCTGCCATAACCCAGCATGGCTTTGATGCACAGTCCCAGAGCTAAGCAAGGTGAGATTCCTCCTCTGCTTCCCTCTTTGTTGACTCAGAGTTGAGGTAAAGAATCAAATATTAATCTGTAGTTGTTTTCCCTCTTATTGTCCATTCAATTTCAGATTTCCTACAGTTTATATCACTGTCATATAAGAATTCTTCATGTTTTCTCTGTATTGCCTAGTTCTTTACTTAGGATCTGAACTGTGAGATGGGCTAAGTTTAAGTCTCTCAATTGATTTAAGAATCTGTAGATTCCTAACGCTCAGCTGGGAGGACCAGCCTGCAAAAGCCAGCCCTGCAGCCATCTAAGGCACAGGATCCCAGCCCTCCACTCCACTGCTGAGAAAGAAATCCTCCTGGAAAGGGTTACTGCCCTGTGGGGACCACACCTCCTCACCCTGTACAGAGAGATGGTCTGACCTGCTGTTTGGCTTCCCGACAGCTGTTCCTCTCCAGGGGGATACTGCAGGCAGCAGCCAGTGCAGCCATGAAGAGGTCTGCCACACATGGGCTCTGGTCTGACTTGGCCTCCATCGCTGCACCTACGCAGGGGCAGAACTTGGGAGTCATGTGCTGAGGGTGTTGAGGGGCAGCAGGATGAGGTTGGAGGGCAAGAGAGGAAAAGCTTGTGACATGAGGAGGGTGAGATCTGAGATTAAGGGAGAGAAGAGCCCTGGTCAGTAGGGGTCTGGGCAGATAAGCTTCAGCCACCTTCTCTGGCCAACAGCACTGCAATGGCTGCCAGTGCTCTGATGGAGCCCAAGAGCAAGAGAGAGAGAAGGGAAACCCCAGGAAGAGGTGGTGAGCTGCTACCCTGCTACCTCGCAGAGCAGGCTGCTCTGAGATGGATCCCTGAAGGAGTCTGTTCAGCAGTGGCTGATGCTCCTCTCGCAGGATGGCATAGAAGGGTGCAGAGATGGAGGGGTCTGTCGCATCCAGGCTCTCACAGAGCTGGGTGAAGCACTGGGGAAGACACAGGGGTTGCCACCACTGCAGAATGAATGTGGGAGGAGAGAGAAGGACAGCACAGGAGGAGGCTGTGGCAGGACAGCAGAGATGGGAGAAGGACTCGTGCTGGAGCTTCAGGAACCTCCAACTGTCCTCTCCAGCCAGGTTACAGTATGGGACCCACATTTTGGCTGCATGCTGGCAAAGTGAGGGGTACACATGGAAGCATGTGTCCTTCTGCACCTCTCACAGCCTGGCAGAGCACACCCAATGCATTACCCAAGAGCAAGACCTCTTTTTGCTCTTGCTTCCTCTGGCTCTAAAACATGCAGCCTGAAAAAAAAGGCTAAAAGCAAGATGATACCAAACACAAGCCTGTATACATCTGCTGCCTGAGTCACATGTGAATCATACTCCAACACTGTGCCCACCCAGCACAATCTCCGCAGCAGAGCTTTCAGCAGCAGAGCAAGGGACACATCTGGTGAAGTGACACTGCCTGGCCACAAGGCCATTTGTGCCAGGGTGTGTACCAGGGACTGCACTTGCTGTTGGCTCAGCCAGTAAAGCTACCCCAGAATGGCAGAGCCAGAGAAGGTGCCCCCTCAGAGACCTCCTTTCTGTATGTAATCCCCCACAGTGGGTGAGACAGTGGGTGAGACAGCCTGCCCTGAGAAGAATGCATCAGACCCATAGCTAGGAGAAGGGTCCTCAGCCTGCATCCTCTCGACATTACAGAGACAGCCCCACACATTCTGTCCCTACAGAAAAGGGTGGGGAGGAGAGAGATGGGGGACCCTTACCAGAAGGCTTTGCTGGCAGAGTCTCATCTCACTGTCGACTGGCTGAGCCAGCAGCTCCGGCAGCAGGGCCAGGAAGCAGCCAGCACTCTCCTGGAAGGTCTGCAGGCTGGGGGAAACAGCAGGGGCAGATAAGAATGGAGAATCATGGCCCCTGGTTACAAGGACAGGATCTGGCCAGGCCCATGTGGCCCTGGCTAATGGGGCAGGCAGCACACACTCACACTGTGAGCTTCTGTTAGTGGGCAGCACAACTGGACTGTGTGTCCACTGACTGTGGATAGCACAGCTGCCTTCCCCTTAGTTAGTCCCACTGAAGGAAAGCGCTCCTCTGTGAGCACAGCGATCTGGCACGAGGTGCTTAGTCCATGATGCTTCCCCTCAGAGATGACTCTGGCTGCAGAGTATGAACACTACCCTCCTGCTTACTGCTGGGTCCCCAAAGTGGCCACAAGAAACTTCAGGGCACAGAAGGTTGTCCTTACCTGTCCTTTTGCCCACTCTCCTCCAGGCTGCGTTCACTGCTGAAATAAACTGTGGTCACCATGAGGAGGTCTGTCAGCACAGTGATACACCAGGGCTGCTGCAGGATCCAGAAAAAAACAGCAAATGGGGATTGTTTGCTGGCCATCCCCACACCACTGTGATAGGATTCTTCCCTGCCAGAACCTTTCCCTTCTCAAGGATGCCTGGAAGAGGCACTGGTCCTGTGAGCCAGCTCCAGCAGGATACCAGGGCCTCCTCAGCACCAGCACTCTGCAGGGCTGGAAGGAGCCTGAATTTCTCTGGGGCCCTATACCCACCTGCTTGGTGCAACCGCTCTCCAGGATCTGCTTGGCTAAACACAGCAGGGACAGAGGCACATTCAGTTCTTGGCAGAAGTGGTCCAGCAGCTCAGAGTCACACCGGGTAGCCAGGAGGTTCCCCACAACACGAAGCACGGGACGGAGATAGGAGGCGCCCTCCAGCATCCCTTCCAGCACCTGGACATGGAGAAGCCAGAAGAGCTCATAATTAGCAGCAGTTTTGGCCTCTCCATCAGCCATGGGGCAGCCCCTCAATCATTCATGCAGGGGACAGCAGAGTTGCAGATGGCGAGCTAAGTGCATAAGACAGCTCCAACTCCTGGAGAAGCAGATCTTTTTGCTTGCTGGACTAAGGACTCTCCAGATGTTCCGAACTCAATCCTGGGGAAGAGGGCAGCATCCATGTCACCAGTCACAGCTGTCTGGGCCAGCCATCACTTACCTGCTGAGCAGAGTCTGCCAGGCAGTCCTGGACACGGTGCTGAAAGGCTGGGTCCCTCAGGAGGCTCAGTGGTGTGCTCAGCTGCATGGCCGAGGGCTCAGTGGCCTCAATCAGGTGCTGCCACTCCTCATCGCTCTCCAGCTCCTAGCCATGGAGGAGAGAGGACTGGTGCCACAGACCCTGCCAATCCCAGGGTCTCTGTACCAGCCCCTGGAGACTAGGCCCTGGTGTCCCCACCTGAAGACACTGTCTTACCTCGCTCTCCAGGTCCACGGCCTCAATGCTGCGCCTGCCCCCGGGCTCTGCCCTGCCAGCATCAGGAGGTGCACCTGCTCCAGGAAACTCCCGCTCATAGTCTCGAGAGATGCTGTGCTGGCTGGCCAAGGAAACAACACAGTCAGTGAAAGACCCTTCTTCCCCTTTTTCCTCCTGCCCCAGCCTCAGCCCTCTCTCACCATGGGTCAGGAAGAGACTCCTCCAATTCCCACTCTGCCATGCTGCTCTTTCTTTGCAGGAGACCAGAGTTATTCTCATTGGAGGCAGCCAGCGGCTCCCCCTCCTCAGAGGCTGCCTTGCCTGGACCTGCTCTGGGTCTATGCCTGGGGTGTCCATTGCCAGAGTCCTTCATAGATGCATCACCTGCCTTCAGTTGCCCCTGATGATGGCAGAGAAGTTTGGTCAGGGCAGTTAATCAGACAGATGAGTCTCCTAGACCCTACCACCCTGTGCACCCCACATCCCACTTTGTGTGTCACTGACACCCCAGCCTGACCCATGTACTCATGTGTTTCCCCCAGGGCCCATTTCAGTGCTCCTCCTCTGCCCCGACTGTGGGACACATCCAGGAGAACCCCCCACTTTCCTCCACCTTTTTCTGTGCCTCTTCAACCATCTTCTGCTGGGCCTTTCTCAGGATCCTGGACTGGCTGCTCCTGGGGACCAGGGAATGGGCTTGCTGTTCCTTCAGGGCCTGCAGTTCTGGGGACAGCTTCGTGGTAAAGGGGTTTGAGATCCCACACTCTTCTGTGTCATCGATCACTGGGGAGATGAGAGGAGAACTTCATAAGCAGTTAGGAGTCAGCGCTTGGAGAAAGCTGAGAGGAGGGAGGCAAAGACCAGGATAGTAAAAATAGCAGGGAAGGGCGGTCCTCTGAGTCTCCAGGCAGTAGGAGGAAGAAACGGACCTGTGCAGCGCTGCAAAAAGCAGGTACTCACCAGTAACCCGTCCAGCAATGAATGGGTGAGAGAGCAGCTCTGGCCATGACAGACGCTGGTGGGGGTCCTTCATTAGTAGTCCCTGAAGGAAGCTCTACAGGACAGCACAGCAGCAGGATCACCGAGACATGTTCAGCATGCACCAGTGTGCACAGTGTACCCACCAGTCTCCCCCAGTGAGGGTACCCAGGAGGCCTGCCTTCCCTGCCTGGCTCTGGGAAAGGAGTAGCTCTAGTGCTTAGGGCAGACAGGAAGACATTTCCCTTCCCAGTCCAGTAAATCATTCCTTTGCTGTTGGCCCCAGTTTCCCAGCTTATGGACAGCAGTGATAAGGTTCCCCCTTCCAGGAGGCCCAGCTCTCATCCCTTGTCTATGTTCCAAAGTCCCTGTTAGGGGACATAAAAGCTAAGTGTGACTCACCAGGGCAGCAAGCAAGGCCAAAGCTGTATTAACAGAGCTCACCCTGCACAGGGGGCCTTCACCCTTACCTTGAACACCGGGCTCATGGCCGTGGGCCATTTGACAGGGTCCTTGACGATGAGGCTGACAAGCTGGAAGATGCTGTTGGTGTAGAAGGGAGGAGTGCCCACAAACAGCTCGTACAGGATGCAGCCCACAGACCAGAGATCTGCTGTGTGGTCATACGGCCGCTCCTCCACCAGCTCAGGGGACATATACAGTGGGGTGCCCTTGATGGAGGTCAGCACCATGGTATGGATGCTCATGGCACGGGCAAACCTGCTCAGAGCAAAGCACAGATGGCAAGTTCAGGCTGAAACATCCATTGCAGCTCCCATGGAGTTCCCTATGAGTTTATCAACACTTTTTCCCCCTGGAGGACAAAATCCCCCCTCTCTGCTTAACCTCTAAATATCCACAGAATCCGGCCCCCTTCTGCACCTCTTGGCTGCCTTAAGGCCAAGCGTCCCCCTCAAGCTGGCCCCCACCACTCACCCAAAGTCACAGAGCTTGACAACACCATCTTTGCCCAGAAGGATGTTCTGGGGTTTCATGTCTCGGTGCAGGATGCGGTGGGAGTGCAGGTAATAGAGAGCAGAGACCAGCTGAGCAGCGATGGTCTGGACCTGCCAGAGACACGGGAGCCTCACACTGTGTCCCACGGTGCCACCTGCTGGCACAACCATGTCCCTAACAGCCTGGCTCCCCCAGTACCCCTACTTCTGCTCTTGGCCTCTTGGGGCAGGGACCAACCCCAGCTGTGGGCCAGCAGTTCCTTGAAGTAGGCCAATGGCCAAGGCAGCAGTTTGGTGCTGTAGCCCTTGGAGAGGGAACAGGGAAACCAAGGTCCCTGCAGGACCCCACTGTCCCATGGTGCAACTTGGCTCCCTCTTCATCCCTTTCAGAAGCTCTGCCAGGTAAAGCTCCGGAGGCACCCTCACCCTCCTGACACGTCCTGGCTCACAGCAGAGACCCTCTGCCTGCAGGCAGACAAATCCTGTTCTCTTCAACCTGTAAACACTGCATGGCCACCACCATGACAGTCACCTGGTCCTCAGGCAAACTCCCATCGTCCTCCAGGATCTGGAAAAGCTCCCCCTCTGCATAGTCAGTCACCACCACCACCTGGAGGGAAGAGCAGCATGGTGAGATCAGGCCCTGGGGACCAGGACAGAGCAGAGTAGGAAGTCTGAGGGGGTGCTGGGTTGTCATTGTGCACAGTCCATCAGCTTGGGTTGGGACCTGGGATGGAAGAGAGCCCTCATGGCTGCACTGCAGCAAGGGCCTGACACTTAGCAGATGTCTTGTATCTTGTACAGCCAGCAGAAACAAGGGAAGAGGAAAAGACAGGACAAACCTAGAATGGTACTCCCAAACCCAGTGAGTAGAATCACTCCCTTGAGCTTGTTTTGAATCTGCTGCCCAATTACTTTATTTCATACCCTCATGCCCCATTACACAGTCTTCAGTCCTTTTACCCTATTACCTCCATGAGAGTATAAATCAGTGAAAAGCCAGTCTCTGAAAAGACTGATGAGATGACTGAAGAGTCATCCTCATCCTGTAATCTCAAACCATTCATCTTGCATTCCCCTAGTCATCTCCTTCTCCTCTGCATATAACCTAGTGCAGCCCACACAGCACATCCCAGAGGGCTCTGAAAAACACTAACCAGACCCTGGGACAGTTTCACCAGCAACTCCCGAGAAAAGATGTCCCTAGGACAGCAGGGACCAACCCTTGTTCCCCTGGCCCAGCCGAGCAAAAGCATTTGCCCAGAGTAGTCCCCTTCACCTCCTTATCCGTCTCGAAGCTGTCAAGCATCTGGATGATGTTGGGGTGATGGAGGCCTCTCATGATCTCAATTTCTCTTTGCAGGTTCTTCAGCTCCTTCTCAGACCGCCCCACCTTGGGGATGAACTTCAAGGCCACCACCTTTTCAAGTAGGAAAAGATGGGATTAGACCAGGCTTCTGGCCAAGCCCACCCTGGCAAAGGCTGCTTTTAACCATAATCGGACTCTGCACTTTCCAGCTGAGCACACTGAACAAGACATTTGTTGACTGGACCACTTGGAGCTGGGGCTCTCCTCAGGTCCTTGCACATAAGTATTGGTGTTCACACTACTTTTCACACTGGCATTTAAGGCAAAGATCGGTGAACACAGATAAAATCAGGACTTCCAGAAACATGGGACAGAACCTAGAGATGCTGGTGGACAGCAAGGCTAACAACAAGCCAGCAGTGTGCTCTGGCAGTGAGGGGCACTAGCAGCATCCTGGGCTAAAGAAGCTGCAGGGAGGTGATTATTGTCCTTTATTTGGAACCTTCTAGACCACGCTGGCAATATTGTGGCCAGGTTTTTGGCCCAGAAAGACATCAGGAGCTGGCCAGGTATGTCAGCAGAAACCCGAATCAGTGCTGAGTCCCAAAGGCCTAGCAGGGCCTTAGAACCAAAGAGGCACCAGAAATCAGCCCCCGGCACCACAGAGCAGACCCCCGGTCCTTTCCCCTCACCTGGGCGCTGTGTTTCCGGCGCCCCTTGTACACGCGCCCGAAGGAGCCTTCGCCGATCATTTCCAGGACGTGGTACCGATCCATCGCTCGGGCCGAGGCCGCTGAGCTGCCGAGGCAAAGCGGACGGTGAGGAGCAGCGCTTCGCCCTCTCTCCCCCCACCACCGGCTGCCATGGGGCACCGGCCGCAGCCGCGATGGAGCCGGGCAGTGCCAGCGCTGGGAAGGCAGCAGTGCACCCCTTGCGATCCCAGATCCCGAGGGATGGGGCTTTCCTACTCACCGCGGTGCTGCAGCAGGGGCCGGGTCCCCTGGGCGGGTATGGCCTCCCCACCCCCACGCCAGGCTCCGTCCCTGCCCACCGGCTCCAGGGCAGGACAAGCCCCGAGCCCCGGCCGATTACCCCGCAGCAAGCCCGGGGTTGGACGGGCCCCGCTGATGCCCCGCAGCAATCCCGCGGTGAGACGGGACGGGATGGCCCTCGCCCCGCTCCGCTCCTGCCCCACATCCGCCGCCGCCGCGCCGTCGCTTGGCAACACGCTCCCCACTTCCGCTTCCGCTTCCGGGGCGAGCGGGACGATGGCGGCGGCCGGGGAGGAGGCGGAGGCGGCGGACTGGTAACACCCCCCGCACCTTCCCCGGGCCCCCGCGGTCCCGCATCCCCCCGCCAGTGGGGCCATCTGACCCCTGCCCCGTCGGTCCCTGCAGGGCGCTGCTGCCGGAGCTGGAGGTGCTGGAGTCCATCTACCTGGAGGAGCTGCAGGTGGCGCGGGGCCGCGGCAGGTACGTCCCGCGTCCCACATTCCCGGCCCGGCCCGGCCCCGCGCCGCCCCGCTCACCCCAACCTGCCCCTCCTCCAGGTGGGAGCCCTGGGAGATCAGCATCACCCTGCACCCCGCCACGGCCGAGGACCAGGACTCCCAGTACGTCCGCTTCACCCTGGTGCTCTCCGTGCCCCCGCAAGTAGGCTGCCCACCCCCCTTGCCCCTGCTCCTCCCCGCCCAGGGCCTCTCCACCTTTCTTGTTGTGCTTTGGGCGTTTCTTTTTTTTTTCCTAGTATCCTAATGAAACTCCGGAGATCTCCGTCAGGAACCCGCGGGGCCTGTCAGATGAGCAGATTCAAAAGTGAGTGCCAGGAGGGCAGGGAGAGGGCAATCCTTTCCTCCAGAGATCCAGGAGGCAAAACTTATGGAAAACCCTTCACTAAATCACATGACTTCCCATGTCTGGTTAGCGGATGGATACAGGTCCCTAAATCTCTTTGTCCTAAATTTCATGGGAGCCACTGGTGCTGAATTTGACACCGAGGGGTCCACCCTGTAGTTGTTGCCCTGTGGTCCCCCTGAAATATAATCTGAATCCCTGGGGCCTTGGAAGCTGTTGGTCCTGCTCTGACAGAGGTGGGACTGACTCAAGCAGCCTGTTGTTGCCTTTGTGCTCCGGTCCTTGGCGCGGTGGAATGTGTTGCCAGAGGCTCCCACCACACCTGCTCAGGGACTGCCATCAGATAAACAAAGCCTGGGACTCACCAAAACCCAGCTCAAGCTGAGGCCGTCAGCAAACCTGCTCCTGCAAGTCCTGTCAGGACAAAGGCTTCCTGTGCACCAGCTTGTGAGGAGCCAGGACAGCACATGACTATGTGTGTGCACTTGTGCCCATCCTGTGCTCCAAGCAGAGCCTGAAGGCCAGTGCTCTGTTTGTTCCTCATGTCACCATGGCGGGATGGCAGGTATGTGGGACAGTGAAAAGGTGTAGCTAAATTTGTGTTAAGCATTTCTGCTGCTTTGCTGTAGGATTTCCCAGACCCTCAGAAGTGTTGCTGAAGCAAGGCTGGGGACAGAGGTGCTCTATGAACTCATTGAGGTGAGAGTTGGGGGAAATTGGGGGTTACCAGCCACAGACACTGGTCCCTCACTGCCCGAGGGGTCGGGAGAGCCCTGAGCACATGTGCAGGCCAGTGAGCAAAATGTTTGCTTTAATGCTTCCACAGAAGGGGAAGGAGATTCTCACTGACAACAACATTCCTCATGGACAGTGTGTGATCTGCCTTTATGGATTCCAGGTAGGCATGTGTCTCCTGGCCCTGCAAGCTGACTGGGAAGTGAGGCAAGAGAATGGGGAGCCTGGGGTTGGGATATCAGCCTGGGGCCAGGGTGCACCCCAGCAGGCCCCTGCCCCTGTTCTGCGGGTGATCCGCCTGCACGTGGGCCTTTGGAGGGCGATACACGCTACTCTCCCCATCGGCCTGAAATAATCATCTACAGAAACGGCACAGGGGCAGCAAGAGATGCCAGAGCATTCCAAAGAAGTGGGTAGGGTCTGAGGATAGTTGCTGGTGTATCTCAGCTTCCCTGTATAGGTCATACCTCACCTGGAGTTCAGCACACAGGTGATCAGGAGGGACTGGAACACATCCACGTGTGATGGATACTGAGGTCTGTGAGGGCCAGGGAGCTGATCTTGTCTGAGTTGCAAGGAAAGTCAATGCCTGCCTAGGAAGGAGAACACATCAGATGGGAAGATTGCTGCTTACACAGAAACACACACAGAGAAATCAGTCACAAAAACTTTGCATCTTGACATTAGGAGTGTTTCTAACACTTGAAACAAGGAGCAGCATCCCAGTAATTGCTGAAGAAGTGGAGATGAAGCTCAGCAGATGTTAGGTGGCTCTAGCCAGCACTAGTTTCCCACTGCCACCACTGACATGGAAGTGAAAACCTACCTCAGCTGGGGAGGCTACACAACCCTGTGCTAAGAAATCCTTCAAAGCTACCCTTCTTGACAGGAGAGAGAAGCCTTCACAAAGACCCAGTGCTACCACTACTTCCACTCCCACTGTCTGGCCCGCTATGCCCAGCACATGGAGGAGGAGATCCTCATGCAGCAGGAGGAGAGAGATCAACACCTTTCACCGTCTCCCAAACAGGTACCAGGCCCTGGGCCGCCTCCCCTCGCCCCCTGCACAGACCCTCATGATGTCGGTGTCACCCTCTTTGGGACATGGAATGAGGGCTAGTGTGACCCAGCAGCACAGTCAGTTTTGTATCTGTGCTGAGAATCAGAGCAGGGATTAGACCAAGTGATCTTCAAGGACCTACCCTGGCAGAAGAGGGGCAGGTTTATCGGGCAGCTGAGTCGCAGACAGGGTTTGCTGTCACCTTTTGCCTCCCTGCAGGAAGTCGGTGTGCAGTGCCCTGTCTGCCGGGAGACCCTGGTCTATGATCTCTCTGCTCTGAAGGCAGCACCGCCCCCACAGCACCCTCTGGTAAGAGATGGGGGCTCACCTGCCCAGCTGTGCCCCCTCACTGGGTAGCTTCAATTGTGACACAGTAACGGATGAATGAATGTGCCCTCTCAGGTCCTCCCAGATGTCCTATCCAAAGGGTAGCTCACAGAGAGCAGGTTCAGTTGTATAGCCCTGAGGTGAGCAGATGTGCTGGAGGAGAGGTGATTCTGCCATGGGGCATGTCCCTGCACTCACTGGGATATAATCAGGTCAGGAGAGTGACCCAATGGTAGCTGCTCTGCATCCTGTCCCACAGCAGGACATCCCAAGGCAGTCACTGCAGAAACAGTGGGTTTGCACTGGGATGTTCTGCCTCTGTCCAGGGATTTCCCGTGCATCTCTAGGCCTGGCGATGTGGCAAAGGGAAGCAGGTACCTGGCACTGTGCAATCAAAGGAGGGTTTAGGGAGGAGCTCCTAGCCCTGCTACTGCCTATCCCTGGCAAGTGTTGAGAGAGCCCTTACCCTGCCTTGCTTTCTGCCACTCAGGAGCCGTACAGGCCAGATGCCAAGATGCTGCAGCACCAGGAAGAACTGCGCCTAATTTTCAAGAGACAGCAAGAGAAAGGAGGTATCATCGACCCCGAAGCAGAGAGGAACCGCTATTTCATCAGCCTCCAGGCGGTATGGCACTGGGGGCAGAGAGCTGCCGAGGGCACCCTGGGCTGCAGGACCAAGCACTGTTGTCTGCTGTGGGACACCCCTGTCCTTTTCTTCACCAGTGGCCTCTTTCTTTCAGCCTCCAGCTGCTGCGGATCCAGGCCAAGCAGCTGCTGCCTCTGAGCTGCCGGTGAGTGCAAGCACTGCAGACGTGCCCCAGCCGCCCGGCCAAGCCTCGACTCCAGAGCCAGCTGGGGCATCGGAGGCCAGGGCAGAACCTGGGCGGCCTGAGAGGCCTGCTGTGCCCAGGGAGCAACCAAGCAAGAGGGAGAAGCACAGAGGGGAGAGGCCAGGCCCCAGAGGCCAGGGCAGGCAGCCATGCAGTGGCTTGCAAGAACCGGGAGAAGAAGCCTGTCATCCCCTCCATGGCTCCAGGGGGCCCAGGGGCTTCAGCCAGAGACCAGAGCGGAGACCTGCTGGAAGGCACAGTCAGGAGTTTCCAAAGCCTCACAGTAGAAGTAGGGCTGCTCCCTTGGCTGAAAGAAAGGATTTGTGCCCTGAAGATCCCTCACCAGTAATGGAGGCCGTGGACTTGAAAGAGGAGCACTGTGATGTGGACAGATGGAGTGCAGAGAAGGGGGCTGAGGCCCGGGGCAAGAAAAAGGAGAACCTGACATTCAACCACAGCGACCACAGAGCAGCTACCAGCTGGCAGGGTCACCACAGGCCCTGGGATTGTGGGAGGTGGGAAAGGTCCAGAGTTCAGGAGCGTGGTTCCTACCCCAGAGCACCAAGAGGGCGAGGGGTGTTCAGGCCCAGTGGACATCGAGAAGCCCATCTTGAGAAGGAGGGTGGCTCCTAGCAGGAATGATGAGGGGCTGGGCTGGGGGAAGGAAGGGCTATTTCTGGGGAGAACAGTGAAGGCTCTGGTAGAGCAGTAGCAAGCAGACACCATACATAGGCAGTGTCACCAGGGGATGACCATAGTGAAGCATCCTGGCATGAGCAGCTGGCTCTCACCAACACTGGAGAAGCAGAATCTTGACAGATCATACCAGCCTTGATCTCAGAAGACCTAGGGGACAGGTAGCCTTAAATGGGGACCTCCAGCCATCATGCCTATATGTGAGCTGCCAAGAAACGTGCACACCTACAGAACAGGTGGACTGAGCATGGTGCCATGGCAGAGCCAGAGTTGGGGCAAGATCTTCCCTGGAAGCCAGTGTCCCAGTGGAGCCATGGGGGTGCCAAGTGATGGGGCTGTGCCAGGGCAGCAGCCTGGAGCACAGCTCAGCTTACTCTGTCCTCCTTTCTTTCTCAGAGCACTTTCTGAAGTGTTGTCCCTGTCCCTTGGAGACAACATGGCTTCTCCTGCAACCCTGGCTGATGTTCAGCTGATGGGCTTGGCCAGGCATGTCCTTTGTATGCAGGACACTTCCCAGTCCTGGCCAGGAGATCCAAGTTAAGCTTAAGTCAACACGTTGGCTGCAGCTTCAGCTTGTCTCCCACTTCCCCAGGAAGCCTGTCTCTCAAAGCACTTTGCTTTGTGATGTGTATCTGTTGGAATCCCCCTCTAAGGCCAGGCTGTCTTGGCACTTCCAACAACCTGAAGACATGCCTCAATACTTTAGATACTGCTACACTCCTTTCATCTTCAAGCTGATCTTATTTCAAAATGAGGATTTGCTGTTTAAACTAACTTGGTGCAGTTCCATCTGCTTCTCCTTCACAGATTTAAATGGTGTCTCACTCCGGAGCTGTGAAGGGCGATCCCAAGTCTCTGAAGTGGGACGCTATTAAATTAATTCATTGGGTCTTCTCCAGAGCCTGCTCCCTTTGTTTTCTCTGCCCACTTGCTCCTGTTCATTGCTGTTTGGAGCAAAGGTGTTGATCCCTGGTATTTCTCACTCCCCTCCCTGCTCCCTACAACCAGGGCCAGGGCAGAGACCTGGTACTTCTGGGTGGCAGAAGGGCTCCCCACTTTGCCTGGCTCAGTGTAAGCTCTTCACCTCACCTGGACAGTACTGATCCCTTCACACTCGTTTGTGCCTTGTCCCCCACCCCACCTCTTTTTTGACCACACATATGTTGTTACTGTCTTCCTCCTGCTGAGTGCAAAAATAGCAGTGCCACAATGGACTTGCCAGAACTTCATGTGAGATCCCCAGGAAACCAAAGGCTGTGTGTACTGGGAAGGCATTTGGCAGCACACACATCTGCCTGATTGATCTTTGGCACGTGAAGGGTGCACAAACCTCTCTCTGGACTGGGTCCTCCTTACCTACTGCCCTGCTTACTCTATGCCTGGCCTTGACCTGAAGGGGTTGGTTTAACCTGCTGCCCAAGAACCTTCTGTGCTTAAATTTCCAACACTGCCCTACTTTCAACCCTAATGCTCTAAAAGCATGACTTTCTCCCTCCTTGGTCTGAGCCCACACTACCTGTCCTGGGCTTGGTGATCTGAGAGCCAGATGTGCCCTGCTGAGGACAAGGGCTGAGCACTTGCTTCCTGAAGACAGCCCTAATTTTAATTCGGTGCTCTCTCTGTCCTCGTTCAGCTGGTTTCTGGGAGAACAGCCTGCCTGCACTTGGGTGAAAAGGTGTAAACTTTACCTGACATCGGTGCTTGTCTGCTGCCTCCTGCCTTTACTTGTGAAACTGCTGTGCTCCAAGAAAGGCATTTGATTGTGTCCTGAAAGAAACACAGAAGATCTCTGCCCCTCACAGCAGCTGAAGCTCCTTGGCTTCCTCTGGTGAGCGAGGCTTACTCTCAGCAGGAAAGCTGCTGTGCCATGTTTGGAGTAAGGGAATTCAGCCGTGGAAATTGGAGTGAGGATTTGGTTAACTTCAGTCAAATGCCAGATGTGTTAGAGGGAAGGGTTTTTTCCTGGGAGTAGGGATTTAGGATGGGCCCTCTCTGACTCACTGCTGTCAGCCTGGAGCAGAGGGCATTTTTCAACAGTATGTGGAAATGAGTTTGGGCTAAACAAATGAAACCTCTGGGTCAGAGGGGAGGAATGGAGCCTGCACCCTGACCTGGGTCCCCTTGCTTGGTGTCCACCTGTGTCACCCACCTACCTCACAAGGCTGTTGTGAGGCTTTAACTGGCAAAAGCCCCAGGCTGGGCAGAAAGGCACCGGCAGCGTGTGTAGCATTAACACTATTAAAAGCAAGCAGTGTGGTTTGATGTTGGCTGTGCTCTTGTGTGGTGGCACTGGGCCCTTCAGGCTCCCCCTCACCCCCCCCATCTTCCCCAACAACTGCGAGATATTTGCCAGTCACTCACTGGCCAGTTTTGACCCCCGGCTTTGAGGGAAGAGGGCTGGATCTGGGCACCTAGCCTCTATAAGATGGCCAAACACAGGGTTTGAGATGCAAACAGCAGAATCCTGCTCCAGGAGCCACCCCCTCCACCATGCCCACAGGACTAACCCTTCACTTGCAGAAACATTTGTGTAAGTCTGAGTTTGCACCAAAATCCATCCAGGTGCTATTGCTTGGGGCCCTTTGTATTTCCATGTGCTCTTGATTATGCCCTTGGCCCCAGAGGGTAGAGCCAAGAGGAGGGCTGAGCAGTTTGGGTTTGGCCTGGAACCAGCTCCCACAGCCCCGCTTAGGTGATGCAGCCCCCAAAACTGAACACATGAACACAGGACTGGCTCAGGGGAAACTGATTCACAAGATTCTGAAAGAGGGGCTGGGAGGGGAGAGCTCTTGGGAAGATACTCTCTAACTGACCAAAGCCTCTCATCTGCCCTCACATACCTCCAGGGCCCCACATCTCTGGCAGAAGGGACAGTCATGCCCACCAAGCAATGATATCTAAGCAGATCTGTGGCTTGGCATCACAACTCATCAGGGCAGGAACAGTGGCACCAGCCTGGAGTCTAGGGACAACCAGCTGTCTCTTAGGAACTGCTTTTTTTCTGAAACACTCTGGATTTGCAGTACTGGCTGTGCCAGGCTCTGGTCAGGAGGGCTCTGAACCAGCAGCTGGATAAGTGTGGCAACTATCATGAAAAGGGACCAGAGAGACAAGAGCCATGTTGTGCATTTCACAGAGGATATTTCACAAACCAGTGAGACCGCTGTCCTTTAAAAAACCAGCAGCTTTTAGCAGTGTAGCACCCCAATATCCTGCCCCAAGGAAACCCCCAGGCTGACCCACAAGGAAGAGGATTCGCATCCAGGAGCAGCTTACAGAAATCCCAACATGAGGCACACACTGGTGAGCAGGGTTGGTGCAGTAGCACACAAATTTGGGGAGCAGCAAGAGCTGATTCCCTCTCCCTGCTGCAAGGCTGGCAGCTCTGACTCTCCAAAACAAGGCATTGGAGGGGTAAAGGTGAACAGAGACCTGGCCTGTGCATCTGAGCAGCTTCATGGCATCTCTGGGATGGTCACATCTTTGTCCCAGTCCTCTCAGTGTTGCTGGCCCCGGGTCACAGCAGGATAGAGCTTATGTTTGAAATGGCTCCTTCAGGGTCCATCTTGTAGAGCATGAAGTGGCCCTGCACCTGAGCAGCGCTGATCTGTTTGGAGACGGCCAGCGCCTGCTCTGCAAACTGCTCGGCTGCAGCCAAGGGCTGCTCAGGATAGAAGCGCTGGAACATGCAGGAAAGCTGCCAGTGGGAGCAATGGCCTACGTACTGCTTGAGATCCACACGGCCAGGACGCACCAGGGCTGGGTCCAGCCTGTCAAGAGACACAGGGGGGGCCTGGAAAACCTGATCAAAGCATCTCTGCAGGGTGAGTCCTGCAGGAAGCCCCCGTCCACACTAGCACAGCCCGTGTCCTGTCTGCAAAGTGCTGTGAACTGTGAGATGGTAAAGGGAAGGAGCAGGTTCATCCCTGGGGAGATTGAGGGGAGAAATCAACCCAAAAGGAAGGAGGGAGCAAGGGAAGGGCTGGCTCTGGAGAAGGACAAACAAGTCCTGTGAAACAGTTCTGCCCATCTCTGTCCCATAAGCAACCTCTGAACAACCCCCTAGGACAGCTCAGTCTGGAGTGAGCCAAGCCTGCCATAGCGCAGTGGCTGAGCAGGTGCCACGAGCCCAGGCTGCATCCCACCAACCCAGTGGGCTGCACGTGGGGTCAGCGTTTCTCTCACAGCATGGCCACAACCCCAAAACCTGCAGCTCCCATGGGCAGGAAGCTGGTACCACTCCTGAAGGGAATAACCATATTCTGAACAGCAAGGAAGCATCTGAGGCTCCAGCAAAAGGAATCCTGGTTAGCAATCAAGGGATTTGCATCCAAAAGGAGGATTTGGGAAACCTGAAGCCCCAGCCTTCCTGCTGGAGGATTCAAAGAGCCCTCCATAAAGCCCAACAAAAGGGAGCAAGGTTTTTCTGTGCCACCCACCCTATTCCTTCCCAGGGGGCAGCTCTGACCTGTCCACATAGTTGGTGGTCATGAAGACAATCCTGGCCTCTGTGGATGCCACGCCGTCCAGCGCGTTGAGGAGGCCGCTGAAGGTCAGGCGCCCCATGCCTTGGTACGCAGCAGGGTCTGGGAACAGCGGAGTCTGAGATCACAGCCATCAGCCACTGACACTGCGCAGGCTTGCAGGCCACCTTCCTATCACCTAACACCAAGCTCCCCACTCCCTCCCTGCTCCAAGGCTGACCCTCTGCCTGGCTGGTAGCACATTCACCTCCCCTGCCCACATGCACCCATGGAAACCCAAACAGAGAACGAGAAGGAAAGCCACCTTCTCTCTCATACTGAAAATAGCTAGGCAGGAGAAGGATCTTTGCCTGAGGATAAAGGACCCAAATTTCTTTTATAGCCTAGGCTATGAAGGCTATATCTCTAAGGCCCTGAGGCCATAGAGATGCCCACTCCTGGTCTCTGCTGGTGTAGCAGAGCAGCCCAGAGTCCAAACCTTTCCCCAGTACAGCCGGCAAACCTCCCTCCAGCTGCTGGCCCAGGAACGGGGGCAGTGCTCACTCTCAGC